CATTCCTGGACGTTACATATGTCATGCATCGGCCTAAAACAGCGTACCAGTCACACCATTTAATGAAAAGCCTGTTTTAACATCAGGGGAGGATAGATGTCAGAGTTTTAAATTATTATAACCGTGTATTTTAAGGTCAAATGAAAAGAGAAATTACAGAGTTGCAAAAAATATGTCAAATCTGAACCCAGTGTAGCTTTTATGGACATTTCAGGACAAAGGAAAAAGCCTAATTAAATAACAGATCTGCAGCTATGACAAAAGCAGAATGCTGTGCAGACCTCATCTGACCGGTCAACACATACAACAATTTATTTCAAAGCTGGAATCCTCACAATGTCTCTTGTTTTATGACAACCGCAGTAGCATGAGCATGTGGCCCTGCCGATCACACGTTCACATGCTTATGGTGACTTTTTGCAATTTAATGGGTTAAACTGTGAAATAACCTTTAGCCTCGCTATTAAAGCCTGTTTTCAATTGATTTGGTGAAGAATGCTTCTTGTTGGTCTTGTGAGGAAGTCTGACATGGTGGTCATGAGAACTGCACACAATGACTTTGTGATTGTTCTGTCTGCTGATATCATTTTTAATTCTAGGGTTTTTATTCCAGAAATTCCAGTTGAACACTTTACAAATGTAAAAAGAAATTAGGTTTGACTGTTGCCTGTCCATAAAACCATGCAAATCTCATGAATCAGTGACTGACTTTAAAGGAGATTAGAGTCAGACAATTTAGACCAGTCTGATTGCAATCAGCTGCTTTTTCAGGTTAATGTATGAACACATAAAAAACTTAAATTAGACACATTTATGTCAGTAAAACCTTGGAAAAGGTTCTTGTGAGGCTGCAGACCGCACACATAGGAAACATTACTGTGACTCTTAAATATAAGTGCTCAACTCACTCATTTGGGAAAGTTCATTTAAAAAACGAACTAGTTCAAAGTTCAGTTCATATATATATATATATATATATATATATATATATATATATATATATATATATATATATATATATATATATATATATATATATATATATATATATATATATATATATATGAAATTATTAAACAATCTTAGGAGGCAGGCAGAGGTAGTAAACTCTAAGTGCAATATTAAAAGTGCAAAGCATTAATAAAAGTATAATCTTTCAGTTAAGTCTCGTTTCAATTTTTCTGAATGAACTTTGACTCCTGCTCACAGCATAGACATAGAAGAGTAGACGCCGCACCAACCGCTACTGCCTATGTTTGTCCGCTTTTGCAGGTTCTACTTTTTATAAACTCTATGGTTAACAGGAAGTTTTAGCTAGGCATTAGCTCCGGTGTCGGAACAGGATCTGCTCGGGTGCAGGATCGGCTCGGGGTCCTTCGACTGTCGATGACGTCACATTACTGCACATCTACTCGGCTTTCACACATACGTTTTGGAAAGACATCAGCAGATTTGTTAATAAAGTTTTGTTTGTTAACACCTAAATGTTTTCTTTATAATTGTAATTTGTTAATAAACACCATATTATCTTTGTTTTGTAAAGAATGTGAAAATACATAAAACCAACATCAGACTGACAAAAAATAGAACAGTTCTTATATGTGAAGCCATGTCTGTTTGTATTAATGTGGAGTTCGTCTGTATATTCCCTTAGTTGTTATCTAAATACATTCTTTGACTCAAAATATTGCTTGGTGTCTTTCAATAAAGTTCTTATGTTTTATTTTTGCCCCATTTCATCAACATCAAGAGCTTTTGAGGGTCACTGTTTATCATTTGCTTATATTTTACATTTCCTTTAGAAATTCAAACATATTTTCTCCAAAAAGCGTTGATTTTTGGACTACAGGACTACAACCGCTAAGACTACGACCACAAATTTGCTCTGACCAATCAAAATCATAACGTGATAACGTAACCTCCGTTAGCTTCATGTTCAGCCAATCAACTACTTTAACGTCATCGGCAGTCGAAGGACCCCGAGCCGATCCTGCACCCGAGCAGATGCTGTACCGACCCCGGAAAAGCTCCGTGGAGATCTGAAGCTAGAATATGGCAAGCCACAGATGGGTTGGGAAAGTGGCGTATTGTGGCGGTTCTCGCTTGCCATAGTCCACGCACGCCAGGACGAACGCACGGCGTATTGTGGCGGTTTTGGCTTGCCATATTTTTATGTTCGTCAGGCAAAATACGAACAATTTCAGTTCACGAAATGAACAAATTCAAGAAAGATTGTTCAATGAACGCGCTCAGGCACAACACCATTTCTGTGTGTGAAAAGGAAATTTAATGTAAAAAGTCACAAAAAACGACCTAATGAAGATTCCAGATCATTAATGAACCACCTGAGATGAGTGGATGTTCATCAGCATGCAGTGTCTTCTGTTTTGCATTTGTCACTCTTTAAAAAAACAATAACAACAACAACAACAACAACAACAATAGTAAAAATTATTATTATTGTTGTTGTTGATTTTATTAGCCAGTAAATAGTTTGTTTGATCATTTCTGATGGTGCGGAATGACATTGAAGAGCATGTTTTAAAAAAGAATCTAATTTATTTTTATTGATTGATTATCTTTCTGAGACCTGAATTTTTATTTAGTGCGATTTAAACAAAATAAGAATTCGCACACTTCAATCTGCGATGTAGGAGTTTACTGGTCAAGCTTTCGGTGAGACCTTCATCAGGAATTGTCTCTGACCGAAAGCTTGACCAATAAACTCCTACATCGCAGATTGAACTGTGCGGATTATTATTTTGTTTATTCCACTTTTTGATCCAGCACCTTTCCCAGACGAGCGGTGACTCCTTCTACTCTATTTGGTGTGATTTAAAAGAAAGAAAATAAAATATTTTAGCCATTACAGATTAATGGACTCTCATAAACGTGGACAGTTTATTTTTTATTAATTTATTTGATACATTTAAAAGGCTTCTTTAACAAACTTCCAAAAGGAAAAGAATATATATATATATATATATATATATATATATATATATATATATATATATATATATATATATATATATATATATATATATATATATGTATATATATATATATATTACTTAAAGCCAATATCAAATGTCTTTGAATAAGAAAAATAGTTTAAGAGAATAAAATATTAGTGCAAGAAGTCAATGTCGACATGTGGATGCAGGATCTGAGGTGGCTCACTTTAAGCATTTGTATGGACATATGACAGGCAGAAACAGAAAGGTAGGTTAGATCTGTAACAAATGTACTGGTGTATTTTTATATGCTTTATAAGAAAGTTTAGACTAGATAGAACATATGACTAAAAAAATCTAACTATGATTTACTACAAATCCTGTAAGTTAAGGTAAAACTAAAATAGAATAAATGGGACTCTGAAAATTTCTGTTTCCAGACCTGTTAAGTATGGAAAAATCTGGTGCCATGTTTTAAATCTTCTAAAAATATGATGCAAAGATAAAATAAAATAAAATAAAAAAGATAGACATGGAGTTTTCTTTATACATAGAAGAATAAATATTTAAGCTATATTTTCTCATGTTCCTTCACATTTTCGTTGTTTTGATTGATTTTTAATCCCCATCACAAATCCATTCTCCCCTCAGAGACCCATAGAGTTAGTCACAATGTGAGGAATGTTTGCTCCTCATGTCGAAGAGAAGCTGTTTTGTTGTGTGTCACGGCACATGTCGCATTCATTAGAGTTGCATTAGAGCATCGTTAAAAGGACGATGTTTCTAATCCTTCCGTCTGCAGGAGCCGGTCCAGCTGCAAACATGATGGCTTCCAGGGTTCTGCTCGCCTTCGCTTTGTTCCTGCAGTTGAATGCTTCATCCTCCTCAGCTGTAGACTCATCCAAATGTGTAGCAATATGGTGACTCAGCGACTCTGTGATTTATTTCAAATTCTACCCTCCTCAAGGATAAATCATTGTTTTATCTTCTTCCAGGACTTTCAAGTTTCCCTGCACAGAACCTGTCAGAGACTTGGTGAACCAGGTGAAGACTTGGAGCACAAAAAAGTGTCACAGTGGTCCAGAGAGGTGCATGTATGAGGTAAAAATCAGTCAGAGAATGATGAAATCTTTTAACCCTCTCAGGCTCAAAATAAGTTTTGATAAAAGGATGAACAACTAAGTCCTTCAGGGGTACTTCTGAGTTCAAAAATGCTCATGTAATACGTATGTGCAGTAAAAAGGTAGGTAGGTTTTAACTGTTGCAAATTTGTGACGCCTGCCTCCAGAGGGTTAAATCTGAGCTGGTGAAATGGAATTATGTTGTTTCTTCTTATTTAGATTAAGATAGAGTCCCAAAGAGAACTGGAAGTTACTCACACCTCCTCTCAAACTGGCAAAGTGACCAACATGAACTTTGTGTTTGGCTCTACACCAAATCCTTTCTGCAAAATCAAAGTAAATATGCTTGTTTCCATTGAAAAATGTTGCATTTATGGTGCATTTGCTGTAATGTGTCATCTCTGCACAGGCTATCACAAGATCTCAGAACAGCACTAATCCCAATGACTACTGCCTCCTCTACAGCCTCATAGATGGTAAAACCTTCATTTATTTATTTACAATCAAGAGTTCTTATTATTAATCGCTTTTCTACATTTTAAAATTTGTTTTTACTCCAAAAGCAAGCAGAGTGACCCAGGCTCCAGGCTACGAGATCTGCAACGAGAACATGTGTCCCTCTAAGTCATCATCAGCATCCTGCAACAGCAAAGATGTGCCTGTGTGACGAGATTCTGCCTCTCAAGCATCAAAACCAACACAAAATAAGAAATTTATTGGTGTTTTTGTCTGACTTGTTGCTGAGACCTTACATCTGAAAAGAGCTTGTTGCTGTTTAGCATGAATCACCTCTTGTGCAAAACTTCCTTTTTGATAACTGGTCCAATAAAGTTGCATTAAAACTTGTGCTGCCGTGCATTTTCAAGTTGTTCCCTTCATCACAGATGAACATTTTTTGTATGCGAGCATAGAAATCAGACACTTTCATTATGCACTCATTTTATTTACAACACACAGCATTTTCTTTACCCATGGAGTTGGTGGATTTAAAAAAAATTCTAAACAGAAAATACAGAGCCTGGCTTGTACAGTATATATATACATGAAATGCAATATTGTCTTTATCCTGGAGAAGGATGACCTCCACTTGTCTGTGCACAGAATCTAGAGTGCAGTGATTGCTCCTTGTCTCTTCTGTACCCGTTTTGTCTCTCTGCTGTCTCATCAGTCCCATCTGCTTCCTTTAATGACACTCTGAATTAGCCCTAATGCTTAGCAGCAAGTGTTTAGACAGACACACACAAAAAACAAAGAAGCGTTGAGGAGACTGGGGACGACTGACCTGGAGCAAGAGACATTTTTGTAAAGATGTTTGAAGGAAATCGTTTAGAATCTGTAAAATCAATTTTATTGGAAACTTCCTGCTCTTTGCAAGACTTGCATCAATAAACATGACAATAAAGTACAGTATCAGCTTGGTGTAACTATCACACTCTATGGAGTCAGCAAACTCTCATCATAAACTCCCACAACAACCACCTTAAATCCACCTTAAATTAGAATGAATCAGCATGGGCTGTACAGAGCTAACCCAGGAAATCAAAGCTTTTCCTGTCATCATGTTTTTCTACCTTGAAACTACAACAAACCGTAAGCAGGAAGTTATGAACACAGCAGATTCCTGCAAGGCAGTTTGTTGTTTAACACTTTCCTTCAACCCTGCCTGCATGCATGAAAGTGCGCTTATGTTATAAATGATCACGAATGATTAACAACCTGCCATCAATCAAGTCTCAGGGAGATTTTTATGCAGATTTGTATTTCAAAAAGTGCAAAAGAATGCATTTTAAAACCATGCACCCTTGATATCTGTGGAAGATGATTTCCAGCATCCTGATGAGTCTCAACAAAACCAGAAACAAAAATCCCCTTTTTACCAGAAATAAACCACTTTTTGGATCATCGGATAAACTCAGAAATGCTACACACCACACACCCACATTGTTCACACTTATATGGTCAAACCCAGTTTCTGTAACTTAACACAACAAAATAAATCCTTCTCCTTTCAGCTTCATCTCACCTTTAAATCAGTTTTATTGTTTCTGAAGAAATGGATGGAAACACAAGGTTACATGTAATATTGTATATATGCACAAAGGCTCATTAAATACTTGACATTTGCTGGATTCATTTCTCCAATACTCTAGTTAAATCCAAATATTTATATTGATTAGACAACTCTAACATTAAATAGTCATTTGTTCATGTTACACAAATATTTGCATATAACGGTGCATAAAACAGCCTGGTTACTGATCACGCAGGCGTTTTACTCTAAACCTCCTAAGTTCAGCTGTCAGTAAGTTTAGTTAAAAGTTACAATCTTGTTTGGGGTTTTTTATTTTCTTCTGTGCTTTTCATCAAAAACTATAATAGGAAGATGGAGAAACCTGTGCTTCTGATGATTTGAGATGATTGTATTCTTATCCCTCTGAGGATGTTCCTCCTTTTGTTTTGTTTCCAGCTTTATGTAAAAAATGTCATCCACTTAAAAGCTGTACAAAATCAAAGCTGAAAAAGGAAAGCAGTTTCAAGTGAGGACGTTAGATGTACAGTATTCTTTCACTCTCTCTCTCTCTCTCACACACACACACACACACACACACACACACACACACACACACACACACACACACACACACAGATTAAATCATCCTTTTTTTCCCTCCAGAGACACGAAAGCAGATCTTTTTTTAAGAGCAACGAGCCCCTTGTGGATCCGACAGACTGGTTTAAAGTTGCATTTTCGGGCAGTGTTTATTAACATTTCCTGTAGTCCTGCTGCTGTGCTGCTCATTATCCCACTTCCACACCAGAGAGAAAAAGGAGCAAAGGATTTAAGCAATCTGTGATTAAGGCAGTCCTGTAAATATTGCAGAGAGGGCTTTTCGGCCCCCGTTTTGGAGACAGACTGCCACAATAGTCCCAACATCTCCTGTTCACTGCTGCATCTGCACTGAGCAGACGAGTGGATATGAGAAGAAATGGCTTCGAAAAACCAGCGAGTGACCCTTGATGTGAGTTCCATGAAGGAAAAACATCCAATTAAAATAAATGAATAAATAAAGTTTAAAAAAAAAGAATTGTTGGGCTGTAATCCTCTTTGGGAGAAAACATCATATTTGGTTTGTGTACTGCTCCTCTAAACAATGAATAATCTTTTAAAAAACGGAATAAAGCACAGCTCTGGGCGATTGAATTAAGTAAAGTAGAAGCCTAGATCAAATTTGTCCACTGAAATTGGTGCTATGGGCTTTTTAAGCAGCGTGCAGAGACGTGGATGGTCAAAGGTTCCACTTACAGTGGATTAATTCTGTCTCATGTAATTGAGTTCATTCCAAGATATAGAAAAAAAACTCCGAAGCTGATACGGATTAGTTGGACAAAGAAGCTGCAGCTCCATCGCTGTCTTGAGTTGTGCTGATAGTCTCACTTCCTTGCAGCTTGCTCGTTACATATTCCAGCAGTTCTGAGATCAGCCAAAATGGCAAACTTCATGTTCTGTTTAGTGCTTTTTAAATTATAGGGCTTCAAGCAACAACAAGACCATTATCAGAGATACACACACACACACACACACACACACACACACACACACACACACACACACACACACACGCACACACACACACACACACAACCCCCTCCGCTGTACAGTCGTAGTCCCTCAGACCCACTCCTGCATGGAGCGCTTGCAGTACAGTATGTGCCACTGCGTGCTCTTCCTCCTGAACTGGAAAACGGTGTAGAGGAGGACCATCATGCACAGTGCCAGAACGCAGGGGATGGCGATGGCCACTGCTTTCTCCGTGCCGCCTATGCTGTTCTGAGTGAATTTGACCACCACGTCATCGCTGTCATAGTGGCGTTCCTCTGCTACAGCGGGACTCCAGTCCCAGTCGGGGTCAACAGGTAGGCCGTCACAGCCCATGAAGTCCCTCAAAATGGACCTGGGGTAACCGGGCTCCACGCGAAGCAGCATGTTGTTGAACTTCCAGTACTCTTTTCCCTTGTAGAAGTAGGTAAAGCCTGCATGGAGGGGTTGGGGTTGCAGGGCACAGATAGTCAGAGTATTTAGCATTTCTAATTTCATTAAAATAAATTTTATAATGCACATGAGTCAATTCTGATGCAAAACCCAACCAGTGTCGCACGTAAAAGCAATAGGAATGACGCCGTAGCAAAGTAAACTACATGTTTACTTCAATTAAAGTAGTAAAGGTGCACAGAAAAAGTATGTTATCAGCGAAAAATGTTGCTGAAATAAAGTATTTAACAAAAATAATAAGTAAATATGAATAAATATAAAATATATGCACACAAAGGCCCTTTTTTATTATTTGTTTTTACTCAACTCGACTTAAGTTTATGTATAATGCACTCTACAAACTACAAACCTGACCAGTTCTTCAACACCCAACTTGAGAATAAAAGCAAAGTGAAATAAAAAAGTAAATAAAAAAGTTAAAAACACATTCAACATTTAATTGAATAAGTAGAGAAACTGATCAAAATGTTAACACATCATGCTGTTTTATAGACCCAAGTGATTAGGTGCTACTTTAGAGCTGATCGGTGGATGAACAACAAAATAACCAATAAACAAATAAAGTAATTCCATCATCTTACATGTGATTGCTCCCTTGATTTACAGCTCAGTAAACTAATATTAAAATAAATCAGCAGTAACTCTGGTTGTAGTTTGTAGGAGGTGAAGCTGCCAAACAAACACCATGAGGTCAAAACGGCAACATTTCAACCTCATATTGCTGGGTTTCAATCACATGACTCATGTGACATCTGCAGCCGCGCGAAACTCAAATGGGGGACAGGAAGTGTTTTGCTCTGCAACAAAACACTGAAATACCACATGGCGCGATGGATGAAAGCGATTTTACTATAAGGCTTTAAAAACATTAGCACTCAGACAGCGCTGAAGCGATCGGTAAAACAAACTTGCTGCATGCCTCATATTACACTACAAACCAAACAAAAGCCTTTCACAAGCCTGGAAGCCTACAGCTACTTTATTTCAGGTTGGTTAATCTTTTAGTGATCCGGAGAAGCTTTACATGACAATCGTCTTGTTTTTGCTCAAGTAAGTAGTGAGTTCTGCTATTTTTTCATTAACTCATGATAATAATGCTATCGCTAACTATCAGCATGTGCTAGGATGCCTTTTTAAATCCAAATTGCTGATACGTTTGTTTGATTTTCAATAAGGTATACACCACGTTACAACACTAAGCTAACTGTTAAAACATTGGCACTCTGAAAGCTATTTGCAGCGAGGACACGTGAAAACTGCATTAAACTGTTAACTTGACATTTTTATGGCTGTTTCTAAGCAACTGTTTCATAAAACTGTCATGGTCTGTGTCTGCCCCCTCCTTTATGTGTCTCCTGATGTGTCTCCATCCTCTCTAGTTTCCCTTCTGTGTCACATAGCACCCTCATGTGTCCTTTGTCTGCGTCTCTATATTGTGTCTTCTGTTTGTGGCCTTTTTTCCCTCAAGTCCGGTGTTCATTTAGTTATCCTCTGTCCCTCCAGTTGCAGCTCCCTCCTGGTTTTCTTCATGTTCTCTCGGTCTCCCCACCATATTTCTATAGGTCTAATATTTCAGTTTTGTGTATGTCCTTCTCAGCTAGGTGTGTGTGTGTGTCCTTCCCTGCTCCTCCTCCCTGATTAGTTATCACCTTCACCTGGTTCTCTCCCCTCACACCTGCAGCTCATCATCCTCCCATAATGCCCCAGTGTATTTAAGCCCTGTCTTGTCTCAGTGTCTTGTCAGTCCATTGTTTGTAGTTCTGTCAGTCTTGTTTCTCTGTGTATAAACCAGAGTTTTTGGATTTCCAGATCTTTATCTGGTTTTTTGGATTTTGGCTCACAGCCTTGGATTTACTTTGTTTTGGCTCTCCTTTTAAATAAAGGATTTTATTTAACCTTCATCCCTGCCTCGTGTCATCCTGGGTACTGCATACAGGTGCTGGCCAGTAAATTAGAATATCATCAAAAGGTTGAAAATATTTCAGTAATTCCATTCAAAACGTGAAACTTGTACATTATATTCATGCAATGCACACAGACCAATGTATTTCCAATGTTTATTACGTTTAATTTTGATATTTATAGGTGACAACCAATGAAAACATCAAATCTGGTATCTCAGAAAATTAGAATATTCTAAAGGCCAATGAAAAAATGTTTGTTTCTCTAATGTTGGCCAACTGAAAAGAATGAACATGAAAAGAATGTGCATGTATAGCACTCAATACTTAGTCGGGGCTCCTTTTGCCTCAATAACTGCAGTAATGCGGCGTGGCATGGACTCGATCAGTCTGTGGCACTGCTCAGGTGTTATGAGAGCCCAGGCTGCTCTGATAGTCGTCTTCAGCTCCTCTGCATTGTTGGGTCTAGCGTATTGCATCCTCCGCTTCACAATACCCCATAGATTTTCTATGGGGTTAAGGTCAGGCGAGTTTGCTGGCCAATCAAGGACAGGGATACCATGGTCCTTGAACCAGGTGCTGGTGGTTTTGGCACTGTGTGCAGGTGCCAAGTCCTGTTGAAAGGTGAAGTCTGCATCCCCATAAAGTTGGTCAGCAGTAGGAAGCATGAAGTGCTCTAAAACTTCCTGGTAGACGGCTGCATTGACCCTGGACCTCAGGAAACAGAGTGGGCCAACACCGGCAGATGACATGGCACCCCACACCATCACTGACGGTGGAAACTTTACACTGGACCTCATGCAACGTGGATTCTGTGCTTCTCCGCTCTTCCTCCAGACTCTGGGTCCTTGATTTCCAAAGGAAATGCAGAACTTGCTTTCATCAGAAAACATAACTTTGGACCACTCAGCATCAGTCCAGTCCTTTTTGTCCTTGGCCCAGGCGAGACGCTTCTTGCGCTGTTTCTTGTTCAAGAGTGGCTTGACACACGGAATGCGACACCTGAATCCCATGTCTTTCATGAGTCTCCTCGTGGTGGTTCTTGAAGCGCTGACTCCAGCTGCAGTCCACTCTTTGTGGATCTCCCCCACATTTTTGAATGGGTTTGTCGTCACAATTCTCTGCAGGGTGCGGTTATCCCTAGAGCTTGTACACTTTTTTCTACCACATTTTTTCCGTCCCTTCGCCTGTCTGTTAATGTGCTTGGACACAGAGCTCTGCGAACAGCCAGCTTCTTTAGCAATCACCTTTTGTGTCTTGCCCTCCTTGTGCAAGGTGTCAATGATTGTCTTTTGGACAGCTGTTAAGTCAGAAGTCTTCCCCATGATTGTGGTGCCGTCAAAACAAGACTGAGGGACCTTTTAAAGGCCTTTGCAGGTGTTTTGAGTAAATCAGCTGATTAGAGTGGCAGCAGGTGTCTTCTATATTCAGCCTTTTCAGAATATTCTAATTTTTTGAGATACCAAATTTGGAGTTTTCATTAGTTGTCTCTTATGAATATCAAATTTAAATGTAATGAACATTGGAAATACATTGGTCTGTGTGCATTGCATGAATATAATGTACAAGTTTCACGTTTTGAATGGAATTACTGAAATATTTTCAACCTTTTGATGATATTCTAATTTACTGGCCAGCACCTGTATTTGGGTCCTCCAACACCATATCGTGACAAAAACACTCAGTAATCTCTTCCCTGTTAGAAAGTGATCGCTGTAAACTCCAGCATTGTCTGTTTCATCTCCTTTTTAAGCCATAGATTACTGGTCCACTTCTGCCTTCTTCTGCAACACATTCTCACTCCCAGCGCGTCAAAAACAAACACTTGGTCAGCCACCCTCCACATCAGACCCCTGATGCCAAAAGTGCCCTTTTTCATTACTTATATGCGAAAAGGGGTTTTTCCCTTTTGTAACTGCAGATCCCAATGCAGTGTAAAACTGACATGATGGGATATCCGCTGATGCGGCACCGAACCAGCTCATTTAACCGCACCTAAACCTTAACGTTTTGCTATTTAAAACCTTCCCCTCTCCCTCATCCTATACTTAACCCTCTTGCTACCTAAAACGTTACTCTCACTGTGATCAAGCGTTTGTTTCCCCTGCATTCTGACTGTGAATTTTCGTATTTGCCGCCCAAGGGGAATGTTAGAACATACCATCTGGCGAGGGGGAGGTTACAAACACCCTCTACTTTTAATGTCCACCTTGGTAGTTGAAACCTCCCCCTCACGTTGGCTCGGTCCAAACCCGACCAATGACGAGGCGGCTCCCGCCGTTCACTTCATAGAGCCGACTTTTAGAGCGACCGACACATCACTAATGTGTTCGCTAGCAAGATGGTTAAGGTTAGGATAGGGGTGAGGGGAAGGTTAAATAAGAGGATAAGGTTAAGGTGAGGTACAATGAGCTTGTTTGTTGCCCTGGCTGCGGACATCCCATCGCGTCAGTTTTATGCTGCATTGCGATCTGCAGTCAGAAAAGGGGAAAAAAAACCTTTTCACACATAAGTGACGAAAAAGGGCACTTTTTGCGTCAAGGGGTCTGAGGCGGAGGGTGGCTGACCAAGTGTTTGTTTTTGACGCGCTGGGAGTGAGAATGTGTTGTCTTCTTTCAGTAAGTTTTTTTTTTCTGAAGTCCTTTGTAGAGTACTACATTCGGGACTTGAAAAAAATGTGTGTGTTTGACCCGATTAGAGTGATTGTACTAACCGTAGACAGCACCAAAGTAAATAGTTTTTTGTGCAGTGCCGGCTACTTCCGGACCCCCATCTGCATTTGGCGACATAGATGCAACATCATATGAAACCCAGCAATAGTTAGTGGATTTAAGTCTGAAAAATAAGTGCTTCATTTAAGTACAAGTATACCTCAAAGATATACTGTATTACAGCACTTCAGTATTAAGCTACTGCTTGCTTGCTTAGTGATGAATGAGGTGAGCATACCATTGGCCTTATCCACAAAAGCCCCCTGAGGTGAGGGAGGGATGCCCTTCCAGATGGTGATGAGTTTGGGGTAACCTGGATCCATCGTCCTCATGTCCTCATTATACCTCCAGTATCTGCAAAATGACATAAATTTTCATTCAATACATATTTTAGGATCCTATCTTCAGTATATGAAGAGCTACAGAAGTAATGTGAAAGTTTTTTTTTTCTCATCACCATTAGAAAGTTATTAGAACAGAAGCACCGCCTGTTTTCACCTGTTCCCTTAGAGCAGAGCTATTCAATTCCAGGCCTCGAGGGCCGGTATCCAGCATGTTTTAGTGGTTTCTCTGGTCCAACACACTTTATTCAGTGGTTGAATCACCTGTGCAGCAGCGCATCAGGCTCTGCAGAAGCCTGTTAATCACACACTAATTGAAATCAGGTGTGTTGAAGCAGAGTTAAAACTAGAACGTGCTGGATACCGGCCCTCGAGGGCCAGAATTGCTCGGCCCTACCTTAGAGGAATACTAAGAACAGTATTTCTAAAAATATATACCGTATTTTCCGGACTATAAGCCGCTACTTTTTCCCACGCTTTGAACCATGTGGCTTATAATAAGGTGCGGCTTTAGTCAACCAGAAAGGATGGATGCTGGAAAGTCTAATGAAGGAATGGTTAAAGGAGTGCTACGGAAAGCGCCCAGGAGGACTTTTTTTTCACAGTAAAACGGCGCTGCTTGTTTTTCCAGCTTCACCCCGGGATGATGACAGCAATACGGAGAGCGACGCTGACATCACGACAGAAAAGGTATGTGACGAAGCTCTTCTGAGGGCTGTTCAACTCCGACACTGAAGATGAATTCAGTGGTTTCAGTGCACAAGATGATGATGAATAAACTAATCAATAACTTTTCTGTTTTGTTTGATACTGATCAGTTCAGTTACGTTCAGTTAAACTATGTTTTCAATTCAGTAGATATCTGCGGCAATTAGCCCGGTGTGGCTTATATTGAGGTGCGCTCTATAGACTGGAAATTACGGTATAAATATATATACTTAATGCAAAAATTTTTTTTAATCCTTCATCCTTTAACCACATGTGCATTTATATGCTGAGACACCGTTTAATTGTATTTATTTTTTTGCTTTAAAAGATTCTAGGAAGAACTTAGGCGAGTGTGCAGACTGCAGCAAGCAAAATGCACAATGTCAGGACTATGAAATGCCAACTTATGTCTCCTGTCTAAGTGCACACTCAAAGAAAATCATTCAATAAGACTTAGATGGGGATTGTTACGATCGCTGCCTTTTTGCTCTGGAGATGGGAGCTCGGTGCCGTGAAAGCTGCCTGTGGAGACCTCAAAGGCACCTCCAAGCATGGGTTTTGCACCTCCTCCTCAACCTCCTCCTCCCTTTCTCTCTGCACAGCTGCATCAAATCTACTAATCACCACCTGCAGCAGTTAAAAGGAGAGCTGACTGAAAGGAAGCCAGAGAAAAACGTGAAACGTGGATCTGAACTCCTTTTGTAGTACTTTAACTCACTTTTAGGTGGTTTTAGATGGAAGAAGCAATAATTTGCTCTTCCTGAGAGATGCGGGAGTCTAAAGGCTCTGCTTTGTGAAAAAGCTGAGAATGGTGCCCTTCTGATACTGTGGGCATGAGTATGGTCAAAATACCTTGTGAGTATGGTTTAGAAGTTTGAAGACCTTTTGTGTGAGAAAGCTAAAAGAGAGAAACAATTAGTAATTAAATTGTTATTGGAGGACATTTGTCCTACTGTTGGAGTTATTACTCCTTTGTGTAATAAAAACCAATTTTACCATCTTTACAGATGCTTTTGTTACCCCCACCTTCACACCCTAGAACAGCCAAAGGGGTAACACGATTTATGTGAAAGTGACATTTTCTATGTGTTTTTGCCTCTAGAATTTTTTTTTCTGCTGTACATTTAATGTCTCCTCCTTGAACCGTCACCTTATCGTGGTGGAGGAGTTTGAGTGCCCTAATGATCCTAGGAGCTATGTTGTCGGGGGCACTTAGTGCCCCTGGTAGGGTCTCCCATGACAAATTGGTCTTAGGTGAAGGGTGAGACAAAGAACGGTTCGAAGGATCTTTCATGGCGGTTAAAACGAAGAGTCGGAGTACCCGGCCCGGAGGGTTACCGGGGTCCCACCCTGGAGCCAGGCCTGGGGTTGGGGCCCGTGAGCGAGCGCCTGGTGGCCGGGCTTTCGCCCATGGGGCCCGGCCGGGCTCAGCCCGAACCGGATACATGGGCTCGTCCAACTGTGGACCCACCACCCGCAGGAGGAACATGAAGGGTCCGGTGCAATGCGAATCGGGTGGCAGACCAAGGCGGGAGCCTTGGCGGTCCAATCCCCGGACAAGAAAACTAGTTTTTGGGACATGGAACGTCACCTCGCTGGCGGGGAAGGAGCCGGAGCTTGTGGCAGAGGTCAAGAGACAAGAGTCAAGAGTCATTTATTGTCATATTCTCCACATGTGCAGGACATACAGAGAAATGAAATTCAGTTTCAGCACACACAATTCAAAGATCAGACATACGTGGGTAAGACACATAACAAGAATTGGTGACTGCGGTCATTCGCAACATGAGTCGCGCTACCTTAATAGTTAGATGAAAAGGGTGTTACATGAGGAAAGTTCAGGGAGGGGAAAAAAGGCATTAACAGGGTTACACCAGCAGGGTGTAGCACTCCAATGCAAAAAAACACCCGACATGGAAGCACAGACAGCACGTGTACAACATCAGAGTCCAATGGGGAGGTGGGGGTGGGCGGGATCCTGAAGCCTCCAATGGGAGCTGCCACTGCGGCGCATCGACCAGCTGCAGAACAACAGGTGGGAGGGAGAGATAAGGAACAGAGAGCACATTGAGGTCCCTGCAGATATAGCCTTAAGGGAGAGGGTGAAGGTCGGGACACAGCATTTGTCGGCATTCCTCCTTTTGTGGGGATGTGTTGAGGCAGCCTTGAGAGGCTGCTATGGCGTCAGATAAGGATAAACATAACTTTGTTTAGGGTAGACAGAGATAATCTTCCCCTCCGTCTTGTAGTCTCTAAGTGGTCATTCATGTCCACCAGTGAAGCCAATTTTACATTCCACATCCCCGCATCGTCCGGCGACCCTCTCCGAGATCAAATCCATCTTGCGCACTAACACAGGCAACGCCGCAAGGACATTGTCCAGCTTACGGTTCACCTCGAGTAACGTCCCAGTCTGTGAGGTCACCGCACGAGCGGCACATTCCGTGGGTACGGGTCGCACTCCAATTGCTCCCGTCTTCCCAATTTTCCAGAAAACCAGATATCCTCCCACTCCAATCAGAAGAAATCCAGTGATCATCAGGCCGAATATCCACAAATCTTCCACGTCCTCGATGGACAGCTGAGAGAGGCACACGATTCGCCAGACCTCCCAAGAATCGAGTGCATATCCCGATGCGAATGTCCCCTCGGGACAGGTGGGAGCCCCCTTCTCCGTTCTCATCGTAGAGAAAATTTTGTCAATCACGTTGAATGACCAATTAATTAAGTCCATATTTCCAAAAAGAGAGTAGTGGTTTCAGGAGAAATGCAGAGAAGTGCTCTGTAGGCAGACAGGACAAGAGCCTTGGGGAAGCCGATAAGGGAGCTGAGAAAAAAGCGTCTGTACTCTCTGAAGGCTGAAGGTTGAGCGGTACCGGCTAGATATAGTCGGACTCACCTCGACACATTGCATTGGCTCTGGAACCCGAGACCTGGAGAGGGGTTGGACACTCTACTCTGCTGGAGTTGCTCCGGGTGAGAGGCGGAGGGCTGGGGTTGGCTTTTTGTTAGCCCCGAGACTCTCTGCCTGTGTGTTGGGGTTTACCCCGGGGGACAAGAGGGTAGCTTCCTTGCGCCTTCGGGTCGGGGAACGGGTCCTGACTGTTGTTTGTGCTTATGGGCCAAATATCAGTTCAGAGTACCCACCCTTTTTGGAGTCCCTGGGACGAGTGCTAGATAGTGCTCCATCAGGGGACTCCATTGTCCTGCTGGGGGACTTCAATGCTCACGTGGGCAATGACAGCTTGACCTGGAGGGGTGTGATTGGGAGGAACGGCCCACCTAATCTGAACTCGAGCGGTGTTTTGTTATTGGACTTCTGTGCAAGCCGCAGTTTGGCCATAACGAACACCATGTTCGAACATAAGGATGCCCACCGGTACATTTGGTACCAGGGCAGCCTAGGTCACAGGTTGATGATAGATTTTGTAGTCGTATCATCTGACCTGCGGCCGTATGTTTTGGACACCCGAGTGAAGAGAGGGGCGGAGCTGTCAACTGATCACCACCTGGTGGTGAGTTGGATCAGATGGCAAGGGAACATGCCGCGTAGACCTGGCAGACCCAAACGCATAGTGAGGGTCTGCTGGGAACGCCTGGCAGAAGAACCTGTCAAGACGGTCTTCAACTCCCACCTCCGGCAGAGCTTTGACCACGTCCCGAGAGCAGTGGGGGACATTGAGTCCGAGTGGGCCTTGTTCCACTCTGCGATTGTCGAGGCGGCTGTTGCTAGCTGTGGTCGTAAGGTGGCCGGTGCCAGTCGTGGTGGCAACCCCCGTACCCGCTGGTGGACACCAGAGGTTTGGGGAGCCGTCAGGCTGAAGAAGGAGGCCTACAGGGCGTGGCTGGTCTGTGGGTCTCCGGAGGCAGCAGACAGGTACCGGATAGCCAAGCGGAGTGCAGCAGTGGCAGTTGCCGAGGCAAAATCTCGGGCGTGGGAGGAGTTTGGTGAGGCCATGGAGAAAGACTATCGATCGGCTCCAAAGAGGTTCTGGCAAACTGTCCGGCGCCTCAGGAGAGGAAGGCAGCAACTCGCTCACACTGTTTACAGTGGGGATGGGGAGCTGCTGACGTCAACTGAGGCTATAGTCGGACGGTGGAAGGAATACTTTGAGGAGCTCCTCAATCCCACCAATGCGCATTCCGAGGAGGAACCAGAGCTGGGAGGCCTGGGGATGGACTGTCCGATCTCGGGGGCAGAAGTTGCTGAGGTAGTCAAACAACTACACAGCGGCGGAGCCCCGGGGGCGGATGAGGTTCGTCCTGGGTATCTCAAGGCTATGGATGTTGTAGGCCTGTCATGGTTGACACGTCTCTACAACATTGCGTGGTCATCGGGGGCAGTTCCTAGGGAGTGGCAGACCGGGGTGGTGGTCCCCATCTTTAAGAAGGGTGACCTGAGGGTGTGTTCCAACTATAGGGGGATCACACTCCTCAGCCTCCCTGGAAAGGTCTACTCCAAGGTACTGGAGAGGAGGGTCCGATCGATAGTTGAATCTCAGATAGAGGAGGAGCAATGTGGTTTTCGTCCTGGCCGTGGAACTGTGGACCAGCTCTATACCCTTGCAAGGGTGATGGAGGGGGCATGGGAGTTTGCCCAACCAATCCACATGGGTTTTGTGGATTTGGAGAAGGCTTATGACCGTGTCCCCAGGGGCACCCTGTGGGGGACGCTCCAGGAGTATGGGGTGGGTGGCTTTCTGTTAAGGGCCATTCAGTCCCTTTACCAGAGGAGCGTGAGTTTGGTCCGCATAGCCAGTAGTAAGTCGGACCTGTTCCCAGTGAGGGTTGAACTCCGCCAGGGCTGCCCTTTGTCACCGGTTCTGTTCATCACTTTTATGGACAGAATTTCTAGACGCAGCCGTGGTGTGGAGTGTGTCGAGTTTGGTGGCAGGAGAATCTCGTCTCTGCTTTTTGCGGATGATGTGGTCCTCCTAGCTTCATCCAGCTCTGACCTTCAGCTCTTGCTGGGTAGGTTCGCGGCCGAATGTGAAGCGGCTGGGATGAGGATCAGCACCTCCAAATCTGAGACCATGGTTCTCGACCGGAAAAGGGTGGCTTGCCACCTCCGGGTCGGGGGAGAGGTCCTACCTCAAGTGGAGGAGTTTAAGTATCTCGGGGTCTTGTTCACGAGTGAGGGTAGGAGGGATCGGGAGATCGACTGGCGGATTGGTTCGGCGTCTGCAGTGTTGCGGACGCTGAGCCGATCTGTCGTGGGGAAGAGGGAGCTGAGCCAGAAAGCCAGGCTCTCGATTTACCGGTCGATCTACGTCCCAATCCTCACCTATGGTCATGAGCTTTGGGTAATGACCGAAAGAATGAGATCGCGGATACAAGCGGCCGAAATGAGTTTCCTCCGTAGGGTGGCCGGGCTCAGCCTTAGAGATAGGGTGAGGAGCTCGGACATTCGGGAGGGACTCGGAGTAGAACCGCTGCTCCTCCGGATCGAAAGGAGCCAGTTGAGGTGGTTTGGGCATCTGGTCAGGATGCCTCCTGGACGCCTCCCCGGGGAGGTGTTTCGGGCATGTCCTGCCGGCAGAAGGCCCCCGGGTCGACCCAGGACACGGTGGAGAGGTTACATCTCCAATCTGGTCCGGGAACGCCTTGGGGTCCTGCCGGAGGAGCTGGTGGACAAGGCCGGGGAGAGGACGGCCTGGAGCTCCCTAGTTGGGATGCTGCCCCCGCGACCCGGACCCGGATAAGCGGAGGAAGACGACGACGACGACATTTAATGTGAGATGAACAATTTCATCAACTAATGTACTAATTGTTGTCATCCTGTAAACGAATTTCAGTAAGGGAAGCATTCCATTTCTTTAATTACACCTACACCTGAAGGCCAAGGGACACACTTCTGAAGAGGACAAAGTACACATTCTGGAGAGAGAAGACAGATGGTTTGAGAGAGGAGTAAAAGAGGCTATCTATGTCAAATGGGAACGACCAACATCAAACAAAGGAGGAGGCCTCTGGTTTCACCTTTCCAGCACCTAAAATGCAGCTTTAAACCTAATTCCAGAACAGTTTCAGTCTGGATCACACCCTCATCTCAAAATAATAATTTCAACACAATAGGGGCTAACGACTTCAATGGCTCATCAGGGGGTAGAGGGAAGGGGTGCTCATAAGTAGTTTCAGCTTGTTAGGCAACAACAGACAGCTACAGCTTATAAACTTGACCCTCATTCCAGTCAGAATTGACAAAGTTCCTCGGATGAGAAGCAAAACTTCTTCAAGAAACCACAGAAGTCCAGTTGCCTTCGTTCAAACCCCTTGGATTACCATGACCTGGATGACTGCGAACCTTCACCAGCATATTTCCTAAGTTAAACATTCTGCTTCCCGCAATATTCCCCAAAGACCTGAAAAGGAAAGTTAACATCAAAAAGCAGTAAAACACTCGGATATCCTGACCAAAATGTGTTAGTTAATGTTACTTATATATAAAACCTTTCCAGCACTTGTTTTAACAGTTTTCTCACCTAAAATGTTATTTTATTTTCTTGTTAGAAAGAAAATAATTTAAAGGATCTATTTTTAACCATTAATTATACAATGGACACATCTGCAGACGTACTTTTACATTATTAAACATGTCAATCAAATTAACACAGGTCGAACTCATATCATTTTCAACCATAGTTCAGTTTTAATTCCAATAAAATTTTTAGAAGTTGCAGCTTGAAGTTAAAGCAGTTGTGTGTTTGCATGTGCGTTTATGTTTCTTTAATGAAAGAATTACCAATCCTCAAATAAATACAGACAGATTAAATAATCTTTGAGACGATAGACTGAATGTCAATTAGAGAGTTAGATTAGATTCTGTGGGCCTAGATGACAAAGCACATCCCACCACAGGGTCCCATGCCCCCCCAGGATATGATTTATCACAACAGCTGAACATGTGAGTCAGACTGACATTTTCTCATACTGTACGTCTCCTGTGACGCATATATAAAAACAAGATTCCACGGTTTACATATTCATGAAGAAACTCCCTGAATCATTTTTTGCTTTGAACCAACCAACTGCAACTTGTTCTCTTTAGAAGACCAACACAGTTCACCATTTTTGCAGTCCACGGTTATAATATCAAGAGTACAGACATTTGATGTGAATCTTTTGTTGCAATCTCTATTTGATAGAGAGACTGTTAATTTATTATACAACTATAAAACAATATAGCTAAATAATAAAGAACTAAAATAGGCTCTTTCCCTTGACACTAGATGTGCATCGGTGGTTATGGAAGGTTTTTGATGAAGGTAGTAATCCTGAAACGTGCTAGAACCACACTGCAGCGCCAGGTATGACAGCTTAAATTTTTCTAAGTCCCAACAGAGCGGCCCGCCAGTCTGAAGTTGTAAATGGAAAATTCTGGCCACAGGGGCGATAGGGACTGGGTGGCCTTTTATTAACCTTGTAAAGGATTATTTTAGCACATATAGCTCAAGAAAATAATTAAAAATATATAAAAAATTAGCTAAATATTCTTTTAAAAGAATTATATATGATTTTCTTAGAAATCTATGATAGTCTTCCCTTGTATTGTGATATAATGTAAGCAATGCATCCTTGTTTTGTTGCTAAGTCCACCTCTTGTCCTGTAGATCTCCATACAATTTGAAGTGAACAACATTCAGCATTAGCCAATAACGTTTGACATCCACGTACATAAGATGTCAGTCACAGAGCAGGAAGAACGTAGACAGATGCAGGTGTGGCACCCTGGCCTATGTACAAAAAAACTGTTGTTTAAATTGTATTACTTGTATTTTGGTTGCCTTTCTGCTGTGCTGAACTTCACATTTGCCATTCTTTATTACTCATGATTTCTGGTGCTATACCGATTAATGCCACAGGGTGGCAGTGATGGCACGTGAGAGAGAAGGGTTGACTAGCCAAGCTTAACGCTGGGGAAGAGTAATTCAGCATCCTCTATGTAAGAGCTGTCAGCAATATGAAAGCTCTTCTCACAAACCTGTTATTTTCTGTAATTACAGGTAGGTACTCCAGATTTCTGCTTTAAAGGTGCATGATGTAAGAATTAAGTCAGAATGACATCCTGTGGTCAAATTTGGGTATTGCAGCCTGTGTATCAAACTCCCATTCCATGAGTTTCATGGCCGTTGCCAGGTACAGATCAGCGCCAGAAGATTCTAGATGACGAGCAAAGACGAGTCATACACAGTTGATGAGTAGATCTGCCCATTTCACTGTAACAATGAGTTGTTGGTAATTGAAAAAGTAGCTTGAGACATTTTTAGAGATGACTATTTAAAACAAAGTAAAATAAAAGGATGCCGTGGCTTCTTACTGTAACAAGAAGTAACTCCTGAGTCGCAACTTTTATTGGCTAAAATACTGTCCACAACCCTTGCCACCACCATCACAAAATGTTGCAGGCATCACTGGGTCCTCAAAGTACTAGTTCTGCCAAACTCATTAACTTCATCACAAAAAAAGAATCCACACAAACCTGTCTCCTTTGAAGAAGTAGGTTTTGGCGACGTCTTCCCACCAAACAGCTGTCTCAATGCTCTGATTCGGCATTCCGCTGCCAAATAGAGAGATGTTCTGAGGGTATGACGGTTGCAGAGTTGTGTCCTTGAACACCCAGAAACGGTACCCTAAGGTACACAAAGGTTAGAATGAATTGGGAGGATGAAACAATCATAAACACGACCTTAAAACTGCTCTAGACAAAACATGCTGAGCTCTCTGCTTATACAAGCTCTCTGTCTGGGTTTTCATCAGTCACTATTTATTTTCATTTTTTTCATGTGATTTCAAAGACCAGATGTTTCATAATCTTGTTTAAAGATGATCTGCTTGGTACAAAAAAAAACAATGACCAACAGTGCCTTGGAATGCAAGTCGTCTGAAATGTGTTGCTTTGAGTTAGTGACACTGTTTTCGTTTATTTCGGTTTGATCAGAAGTGTCTCAGAGTGTGGAGTGGTGCATGTGTTAAGTGGCTAGACACTCGTGTGTGCACTAAACACTCATGAACACACACGGGGTTTAGTGAATAAATAAAGCACAAGGCTCTGATTCCACTGGGTGACAGATGTCATTTTAATCTGTCTGATGAACGAATGTCTCTTTGGGACCTGCACCCATTCGCCAACAAGACAGAATTCAATTCAACACCACAGTCAACCACGCCATTTTTACCCAAATTTAACATTGATGTTTGCATCAGTAAAGATGTTCACAGATTCTTTTCAACTCCACAAAATCCGTGATTTTCTCCTGCAAGTGAATGTGTCTCTTTGCTTTAGTTACCTTTGAAAAAGACGAACTTCCCTTCACTGTTTTCATACACAGCGTCTATTTTGGGAGGCAAGCCTTTCCAGAACTGGTTGATCTGCATGGGATAGCCTGGATTTACAGAATTGTCCCGGACCCTCCAAAACCACTGGTCCTAAAGACATAGACAAGACCAAAATCCATGATGTCATTAACTTAAACTGGTGTTGGACCGAAAGCTTCCTCAAACTGGTAACTGGCTTTACCTTGAAGACAAAAAGCTCTTGTCGAAGAATGGCCAGAGTGTTGAAGCCTCCGTCGCAGATGTTAGGTTTGGAGTTGGGGTTGGATGGTTTAGCCCCCTGCGGAGGCCGATGGGGTCTGGAGTGACGTTCGTGTTTTCGCGGGTCTGACGGAGGATGGAAGCAAGGAGGAGGAACCGTCGGAGGAGGTATTGTGGGCTGTGGAGCTTTATCTGGTGGTCCTGAAAACAAAAAACGAGTGTTTCATTGTGTTCCTTTTAATTCCTTTACTGCTGTGTTTTTGTACGAGTTTTCTATTTTCGTAACTGTCACCACTGAGCTATTTTGCAACCTTTAATTTGGCTCTGACTCTTTTACCTCCTTGACGGTTTGTTTGGTTGACTCATGCGGCTCTGAAAAACACACATTTGCTGACCTCTTTAACAGCTGACAAATGCTGCTTTTCTGGTGCTCAACCCGGTATAACTGACGCAGCACGTTTACACTGGTGACTACGTTTCCGTGCTGTGCTATTCAGTGATTTGTGGCATTGTGCTTCTTAAATGAAGTGTTGGAACAACATGCCTCATCAAACAAGGAAAATAAAATCCTGATGTGGGAAAGTACCATAGATTTTCTGGATGCCGTCCAGATCATCACGAGGTAGTTTGAAGTTCTCCGTGTCCATGTACTGGTAAAAAGGAGCCATGATAGCAGTGGGTTCGTTGGAGTGCTCTAGACCGAGAGCATGGCCCAACTCATGAACCGCAACCAGAAACAAGTCATTTCCTGCAGAGAGGATGAGGAAAACAGCACTTAAACTACAAATGTTCTTCCATATTTGGTAAAAACTTCAGAATTCAGAATCAAATCAATGAGAAACAATGACATTTTATGCAATTTACTTAAAGATTTTCAACAAAGAAACATCATACAAGATAAAAATCATTGATGCATGGAAAAAGGAAACTAAAAACCTAACATAATGTCCAGCTGTAAACTACTTTTCCTTCTCATTTCTTTTTAAAGGAAATTGAGATGAACATTAAAGGTGTTGAACACTCATTTAATCAATACAGCTGCAGTGGTCTCTAGTAGGAATAAGTGCCTTGTAAGTCGTACTTTGGGGAAGAAAATCACCGGTGCACCATTTTCAGGAACTAGAAGTGAGTCAGATCAGACAGAAGGATTTAGAGTCTTATTTCCTGATATTTGGACATCTTGCCTTGGACTGGATAACACCAACGCAACTCTACCACTGACTTGCAACGTGGATGTTATTTCTCCACAAATAACACAATCCTGGAGGAATTCTGCTGTGTGGTGGAGTTGCTAATGCTAACAGTTAGCTTCTACTAGCCTAGACGTTCTCTGCTTTTTCCTGGATTCTAATGAATGAATGTTAAGTGACAGTGTGATGTAGATCTGTGAGACTTTTCAAATCCTAGAGTTTACTGTCAATTTTCTATCAGAAGCTAATGCGGGAGATAGGTATAGGAGACTATTTACATGTTCAGCCTGCCTGGAAAAACTCAGAATTGCCAATTATAATCAGAAATGAGATTTTTTAAATGTTTTTCAGTGTCCCCCACCTTTAAAGTGTAGGTTTAAAAAAGCCTTGTCATAGCCTTTGAGTGTGTGACAATCTGACAGGGTGTGAACATGTGTCCTGGGTGATCTGATCACAAGTAGGCAGCTCTAAATACAGACGTGAACACCCTCAGGATGGACCAAGGACACTTTTGGTTGTGGTCAGGGACAATTGTTTAACATTCATATAAAATCTGAATAGGAATATAAGAAATCACTAAATAGGCTCACATAAATGTACTAAAAAGGCAGCAAATGACAGTAAGCAGTAGAGTTTTTAAAAAATGCAACAGAATTTATTTGTTGAAGATAAACCATCTGGATTTGAGGGAGCCATTGGCTGAGAAGTGAAATGTCTCCAAGCTGTCTTCATCAGGTCTTGTTTTTGTTAGTTTGTAAGAATAATATCGCAACAACCATTTTAGAAAACACTGAGTACTTACAAATGATGAACTTTTGAAGTCAATGCAGCTCAATACGGCTACCACAGCTGGTGGACACGGCAATGACTCAGTCAGTTTTGCAAAAATAAAAAATGGCAAAAATTAGGGTAATTTTTGGTAAAGTAGTAGCTGGGAACCATTTTATACTCAGGAGGACACAAGATCTTACAAAATTATCTGAATAATAAGTTCAAGATTTGATCAAAACCATTGTGACACCAATTTCTCAAAGCAGGATGATTTTCATGAAGAATTTGGCATCAAATGCAGCCGACAATTTAATATATTCAGATTTTTGCTTTTTTTTTGTCTTTATACTAGATTACCTGATCTTGTTATATAAAACGAAAAGTGCAAAACACCAACTTTTTACTGATTCTTTAAAAGTGTGAAACACTGAAAAACTATTTTATATTATTATTTCTGATTATAATTGGTTACTTTTGAGTTTTTAATGCAGGCTGAACATGAAAATAGTCTCCTACACCTATGTGTCTATGTCACACTGTCACTTAACATCCATACACTCACCCATCTTGACTCACAATTGTTGTTTTAACATCTGCATCGGAGGTCTCAGCTAGTAGAAGCTAACCAGCTCTCGGAGGGTGCAGACGCTTTTTTCCTCCTCTCCTCCATATCTTATCCTCAAGGCCTTTGTCTGTCTCTGTGTGCTGGGTGCACGGCTGCTTCTGCATTTTTTCTGGAAACTGGAAACCGAAATCACTAAAATGGACCTTGTCAGTTGGTCACTCAAGGCAATTGGTAAAAATTTTTCAACAATGAGAATGGGAGAAGGGGCTCCCGGATTTCCCTCCGGGACAGACCCAGTTGGACACATCATGGACTCCTGGAAACAGTGGAACTTGATCTGTTTATCTCAGCTGTCTGTGGAGAACTCTGAAGACGTGTGGATATTCGTGGTGTTGGTGTCAGGTTTCCTGCTCATTGGCCTTGGAGGCTTCCTGGCTTACCGGAAAATTAATGAGCTGTCGAGGAATATTGGCCTGATCCCGGATTGCACTGCGCTGTGAATTCACAGACTCACATAATTGTTGAGATGAATCTTAAGCTTGGAACTTTGGCCAAGAATCATTCACTGGCACAAAAGATGGATGCCATTAAGGATAGAGTGGACGAATCAGCACGGATTGGGATAGATTAATGTCCATTATTGGGATTTTGAGAGGTTGAGGACCAAGGAACTTTAAGACAGAGTGGAAATTATCTCTGTCTGGTCCCAAAACAATTTCTAATCGGAATCTGGTGCCCTTGAGCCTGCTAGGCTCCAACGAAAACTCCCCCCTCAGAAGATATGTGGAATGTACCGTCGCTATGGCAACTCAACTCTGTCTCCTATCCCAGCCTGGGCGGGACTGCGGGAAGGCCACCGAATCGTTCCAGGGTCACTGCAACCCTCCAACCCTCAATGCTCCTCCTCCTATCCACACTGAGGTGACATGCACTGCTTGTAGTGGCTGCAGGAACCGAAGTGTGGATAGTCCTAAACCCACCACCCCACCTAGTGGACACTTATGTTGTGTGATGTCTGAAGTCTGTTGCATATCTGTCTGAGGTGTTTTTTTTTTTTTTTTTTTTTTTTTTTTGCAGAGCAAAACTGCCCTCCTGGTGGAGGGTAACTCTGAAGTGCCTTTTTTTTCCCTCCACCTGAACCAATCCTCATGTAACCCTCTGATCTCTATTAAGGTAGCGCGACTCAGGGTTGCGAATGACCACAGTCACCAATTCTTGTTATGTGTCTTGCCCATGTATGTCTGATCTCTGAATTGTGTGTACTGAAACTCTAATTTCCCTCTGGGATTAATAAAGTATCTTTGAATTGAATTATTTGTGGAGATAAAACATCCATGTTGCACGTCAGTGGTAGAGTCATGTTGCTGTTATCCAGTCAGAGGCAAGATGTCCAGATATCAGGAAATTCTGGTGTCTTAATCTCTGCAGTGATGTGGCTCACTTCTAGTTCCTGAAACGGTACACCTGTGTTCCCCCCTCCAAGAATGACTTACAAGGCATTCCTTCCCACTAGAGACCACTGCAAATGTATTGATTAAATGAGTGTCCCACATCTTTAAGTATTTTAAATATTTTAGCATTTGGACAAGTTTTACACATAAACAGGTCTAAAACAACACATTAGCCAAGAACAAAATTAGTAATTTGCTCCAGTCGTGCCAATAAGTCGCAGCATTCCTGGAGGTGATTTATGAAAAAACGAGAGCTTCATCCTTTTTGCTCAGTGAAGAAAGCTAAGGCTTAGTGCGTATAAGCTCAAGTAAAACACACACACACTCCCGTTTCGGCCCAGGGCACACATGTAATACATCTGAGCACAGGAAAATGTTGGCCAAGCACAGGCAATCATTGTGTTTCTACTTCATATCACACTGAAACACACACTCACATGAAAAAATAAAAGCGTCACAGCCTGCGTATATGGTCAGCTCTGCATGTCAGCCTGATTTAGAAGGAAATTTAACATTTCTGTGCAGATTGTGACTGAACCTGTCCTCCAGAGATTGTTGCCCTTTACAATATGATATTCTCTCTGGCCAGCAGCGCTGCATAGAGCGGCCACTGACCCTCAGCTTTAAAGATACTTCCCTCCTATTTTCATCTAATCCAACCAGGCTCTTCTACATGAGCAAAAAATAAAATATAAAAAATACGGGAGGACTCCCTAGTGGCAGATAGGAGCTACCATTAGCGCACATGTCAACATGCAACATCTACATACACACTGCTGTGAAAGCCCATTAAAGATTGCACAGCCTCCTCGGCACGCATGCTGAGACAGGAGGTTTTCAAACAAGCCTCAGCACTGCAAATGGATAACCATGGGATGCTGCGCCGAGGTGAACATGAATCTGACTTAGCAGTCTTAGACTATTACCATTAGAGAACAAGGGAGAGAAGGAGGGAAAGGAGCTGGTGGGTGGCCAGCAGTTTCCCAGAACACAATGTGAGCCTCCTCCCTCTCTAATGGTTGGAGAGACTCTCAATGGATCACGGATAATAGCAAAGCCACCTGGTGGTGCTTTCACAGGTCTGGTACCCTGTAGGTAGAGTAATTAAGGTGTGCTGCAGGCCTTAAAAAAGCATCTTTATTGTTTTTTTTCCACCCAGAGATGTTCTACCAGACAACAACAGTGGATCACCATCATCGTGTGCCAACAAGCTAAGTCTCAAAATAGCTGGGCTTTCTATCCTGTCATCTGAGGAGCTTATTGTGAAGGGAAAAAGTAAAGTCCTTACAGATGGGGTGATAACGTCTTTACAGAGCACGGCTGCATCAAACACATCTCTGAGTTCTTTGTTTTTGACTGAGCGTCCCTCACACACTGCCCAGCAATAGCATCGCTTCCATAACGCCCTCCTCCTGCTAAGCCGTCTGTATTTCCAGGATCTACTATCAATCACTTCTTATCAGCTCTCCAAGGTGAATGCCGTTTTCTGATTCCTTTCCTCGTTTCTTCCACTTAACTTTCCCCTTTTTTATCATGCACCACAGAAAAGGCAAAAGGCAGGCGCTATGTCTTTGCTTCTGTGTTTGTGTGTTTATTTGACTGTGGTCTCACGAACTACAGATTTTTAATTAAACTCCCAGAAAGTAATCACTCATAAGTGATTAACTTTTTGAGTCACTCCCATTCAATGCAAATGCAAAAATGGCTATGAATAAGTCTTAATTATTAACTCTGAGCTAAAGTTGATAACCATTCAGAAATCTCACATGATGTTCTCAAGATTTTACCATAAGATCTATTATTCCTCAGCATAAGTCAGTCGTTGTTTAATGGTTTAACGTCCTCACAAAGAAATAAACAAATGACATATTGCCTTTCTTTTTTGCATCATTTGTTCATTTTGGACAATAAGAGCTAACATTTACTGTAAGATAATATTTAAATAATGAATACAATACTAGCAATACTTGTATTAAAAATTAGAAAGGGAACTCACCGAATTTTTACAAAATATTTTAATTGTTTGTGTTTTATTTCAAATGTTTCTATTTTTCTTTTATTTCTGGTAACTCAAGAATTGAAGTGATCATGACTTGTCAGGTAGCTTACTTGTCCTATAAGATAATAATCGAGCGAACGTGTAGCTTTTTATTCAAACATCTTCATACTTTGAATATTTTTTTGAGGTTAGAAGTTTCTTTTCCCAATAAGATATAAGGAACAAAATATGTTTCTATCCTGCAAGTTATTGGGGTAAATATAGAAATGTCTGATATAGGCATTTTACCAAAATCTGATCTGATCTAACTTCCAATACTGATACAAACCTTCTCAGTGACCTAAAGGTAGATACTGGTGTGGGTTTTCAGATGGAGTACTTCTTCAAACCAGCCCAATTCCAACTTTATAAACCACTCAATGGATAGGCCCAAGCTGTGAGTACAACCAGAATGCTAGCTGCTAGCTGGTAGCTGCTAGCTGCACGGTTATAGTTTGGTGGGTTAACCTTCGGGATGAACTGGGGAAGATGTGTGTAGGTTGGCAACGTTCATGTCCCTTTAAGAAGCTGCACCACCTTGCCTCACGTAAACATGTGACTCAAGGTAATTCATGTGACAGCTCCATCTAGTTGACAACTTTTGTTTCTGCGCATACCTGTAGTCATCGAACATTTACTGTTATCGAGGTGAAATCCTCAATATATCTGATATTTATTTTAGGCCATATCGTCCATCCCTAGGTTGTGGCTTTAGGAGTAAAAACTGATACCAATAATACCTGATATGACATATTAATGCCAATATTGGCCAATAATATCTGACATAGTGAAAACATTGCAATCGTTCCTACAAAAATTTCCTCATTCCATTTATCTCTCCCTTGTGCACCATTTAAGCTAAAACACACATCTCACCATCGTGGTTGGGATTTCCGAGGGTCCAAGGCTCGTCTAAGTCAAAGTGTGTGTCCCCTCCTATGCCTGGGCCCGGGAAATAGGCGTGGGCCAGGAATCCGCCCTCCCCATCAAAGGGTGAGCTGTCACCATGAAAGCCTGAAGCGAAGATGATGGTGATGTCCACGTCACGCCGGCCAGTTTCCAGGAAGTTGTATGGAACGGCCTCAAAGCGTAGAGGAGTCACTTCCTGCCACACGTCAAACGCCCGCCGGATGGCATAATGAGTGTCCTGGATTCCCACTTTTGGTGTAACATTTTTGATGCTACGGGAAAAGAAAACAAACACTGTTGTGAAACACTTCAGGGGAAGTGGAGGCTGAAAAGGCTCTGCCTAAAGAGTTTGTAAAAGTAACAAATGTGAGCGGCTCACCGGTCTGAACTCACGGGGAACCAAATATTCAGAAGGAATAAAATGCATGCTTGTTATCTCACTAATGTTGATTTTCACTTTTCAGACTAGAAAAAAAGTTGCACTTGACACAACTATTTCAAGCCCAGCCGCTCTTGCTGAACTTTTAACACAGCAGTCGTTATCAGAGTCTGGCAGGCAGAGAAGAAGAGGAAATCTTCTTCCTCCCTCTCCACTTATTTTCAGGAGTAAAATGCAGGGAAGCTGCGGCAGCGGCTCAGCACTGATTGACGTTCCATTAGGAAGAGGTAGCTCGTCAATTCAAATTCAGTGAGGAAGGAAGGATTTGAATAAATTGCCAGTGTTATCATCTATTGCTGCTGGAACCTGTCAATTTGCAGTCATGCCAGCGACCCGTTTATCAGTTCCCCTCAGAACCCATTTAAAGCACGAGTTTAATTACACCAGATAAGACGAGTTTGGCTATTTCTACTGCAATTATAAATATTTTCCAATTATAGTTTCAAGATATTTTCTGCAAGGGACTTTTTCTGTAATTGTTTAGCTTAATGAAAAACGACACATTTGTGAATGAGAGTGCCTTTAAAACACGTCTTTACCCACTTTTAACTGTTCAGTGCGCCGTTTAGAAACCGTACAGGAAACATAATCACAGCACACAATTTAAGTGTGAATCGTTTTGTTCTGCATGTGTGAATGTTGCTATATTTTGTGCACGTGTGACGTATTTGTTCCGTCGCTATGACAACACACAAAACATGCAGTCCCAAGTGGTTAAAGAGGTGTAGGATCCCTGCAAACAGTCAACGTTGCATGGACGTGCAGATCATGAGTCTGTCAGTCCAGCCTACGTGTGTAGGACCAAACTACCGGTAGGTCTTTGCCATGGAGGACAGCAGAGAAGATAAACAGCTCCATGTCTAGTATCTAAGATTCCAGAGAAAGGTTTCCTGGCCTCTGCAACAGCATTTCCCACCGACCCTCACCTGTACGTTATGAATGTGCGTTGCCACTTCTGTCCTGTCAGCGCGTATCTTCGCCTCCGTGACCTCGCGGCACCTTTAAACTTGTCAGGAACGCCGCAGCGAGGCTTTTGCATCCACCTTTACAAGAGAAGAGAACAGAAGATGAGCTCACTTTGAGAACTTTTGCATCCCTGTTTGCATCCCGAGACGACACAAAGCACTGGAGCGAACTCCGTTCTCTTCCTGACAGCTGGAAGAGAATTCCAGCAAAAGAAAAATAAGGGATGCAAAGTGCTGCTAAACTACTTCAGATCCTGTCACTCATACCACATCATGTGTCACAACTACCCAACAAGCACAATAATTACACAGGGGAAACATTAGTTCTCACCTGAGAGTGATATCACTGCATCATCATGCAAAATGAGAAGAGGGAAAAGCGTTAAAACCTTTGCCTGTTGTTCTGAGTGAGACGATTTGGGAACATGAAACATCTCTGTCTTTTATTGACTAGCAGGACATCACTTGCCTACTAAAAAGTGCTGCACAGCTTGTGTTTGTGCATGTGACGTGTGTGTACTCACTCCTTAGTTTTCTCATCCAGTGTCCCTGTGACATTGAGGCCATAGACACGCTGCATGGCAGCAATGGCTGATTGCATGGTTTTGGCTGAGCGCAGGACCGACATTCCTGGTTCTGTGGGGGGAAGGTAGCCGTATCTCTGTAGCCATCCCTGAGAGATGTAAGGAGAAGAGACGTCTGAGCCTGCATAGAAGTTACTTTTTGCAGTGGAGAAAGTTGGGAATGGCATAGCTTATTATGCAGGTTTGACCAGATTGTGGGATAGAAAATAATTTGTTATGAGCAACGAAGGTGCTAAATTTAGCTTTAGTGTTTTGTTACTATTCTTAATTTTGAAATCTCATTTTGTTCCCTGAATGTAAAGCCTTGTTTTTTCCTCTGTGTTGTGTTGTTTATTTGTTTTTCTTAGATCTCTTGAGATTTTTTTAACTAGACTTTCCACTTTTTTTGTGTGACATTTGTCATTGTTTTAATCTGAGCTCCTCTAGTTCTGTCTTCTCATTAGGTTTTCATTTCAGTAATCATTCATCCCAGTGAATACACCCCTCACTTCAATTAGACCCTTGTCACATTCGACCTTTTGCTTCGGTTTATTTGATTTATTAGCGATTTCCTCCATGCCCTTGCTTTGTTTGCTGCTTTTGCATTACTGCCACATCAGCATTTTTATTTATTAATAAAATGTTGATTGTGTTCCACCAGCTCTTTTGCTTCCTTGCTGCTTTTAGGGTCCTCTGCATTAAAAAAAACTAATAGTGCTAATTCACATCAAGCTAATTTACCTTCATCAGCTGAAATGAGATATGATGCTGGGGAAAGCTAACAAGGAAAAAAATAACATTCAGGAGTTCTGTGTCAATAGTCTTGGTTCCGAATGAAAACTTCTTAAAAAAAACTACAAAGGAACTTCTTCAGAAACTGTGGTGGATGTTGGTTAGCCAGTGTGCTAATGAAGGCTTAATCTGCACAAATGATGTCTCTTTACAACCTGCTAGCATCAACCAGATTAATAAATGTTGTTTAAATAATAAAAACGTTTGTATTTGTTCTCTCTGTTGTTAGAGGAACTCCAAGGCTGCAGTGTTTGTCTTACTAATGGATGCATCACCTATTTGCACCCTTCGGCCCAGGTTAGGTGAGGTGTTTTTGTAGCTCAGTGCATCAACTTAAAAATCCAAAAAGCACAAAAGAGAGGCTGCAAATCTCATTTCCATCTGTTTTGCTTAGGCTGTTTGTTGTAGAGTGGGTTCGGCTTTTGGAAGATTTGATTTGGTGTTATTAGGATAAAGAAGTGATTTTTGTTTTTAAGTTAGAGTTGGGCGTTCAAGCTACAAAGAAGAGAATGAATATCATCTTCTGAGAAAAATCATTGGAACTCATAGATTGAGAAATCAGAGTTTTTTCTGTCAGGCACACATACCATCATTAATCTCACAATATGCTGTTTATGTTTAAAAGACTTACCTTTGTCAAACAAAGTGTTCACTCTGCATCAGACTAGGTATGTCGACAAATGTGCAAGTTCTGTGACTGACATCTGTATGCAAGTGGATCTCTAACACTATTGGCTAATGCTGAATGGCATTCTATGGGAGGGAGGCGGTATTAGCAAAAGATGGACGTATTACCTATACATCATATCACAGCACAGGGTAACAGTATCACTTTTATGGATGAAAATCATACAGAATTCCTGATAGGGGAAAACTTTGGATTGCTGCTTCAGAGTTACAAGGAAGCGCAGGGACCAATGTCCTGCAGACCCTAGAGCTTTTCACTGTGTATCGTGTATTCCTGATTCTTGAAAATTCCAGACTTCCCTTTTGATTTGATAGTTCACTCTGGCATGAAATCCTGAGAAATCAGAATCAAATCCAAATTAAATTATATTCTGTGCTACTTAAGTTGAATCATACCTTCACTCACATGATCAAAACAGCTGATCCGAGTGTGTCATACAACACAAGGCTTATATGTAGCAGTAGAATTTAAAGTGTTGATGTAATCATCCATGCAGCAGAGGTTGGGCTTGATTTAATCTGTCCAGAGATTCAGTGGACAGGATTAAAACATGCAAACAGCATCTCAAACCCCTCCAGTGACAACAGTCAGTGTTTGTGTCTCATGTGAAGGACTGCGGCTCTGACTCCTCTTGCCCTGAAGCCAAAGTGTGACTTAATGCAGAGAACATAAAGGCCAGTAAATCTGAGCATCATCCAGAGGTTGCGCTCATACCAGAGATGCTTCCTACCTCCTGCCATCCAGATTCCCGCTGCTGTTACCTCCTTCCATCCATCCATCCAACCATCCATCCTCCTATCTCCCTTTCATTCTGCCTTTTTTCTGCTTAGCTAAACGCCTTGTTTATTCTTTCTTTTCCTCCCAGCTTGTTTCTGTGGGCGTACTGCTTCTGAGCTGGCTTGTGTTTGTCCAAAAGTCAGATTTTTAGACAGATTTCCGTGGACCGTTAAATTAAATGATGTGTGTGTGTGTTTGTTAGTGTCAGCTCCAGCATTTAATTTCTTCGGGGGGGCGGGGGGGGGGGGGGGGGGGGGGCGGAGAGGATGGCATCAATTAATCATGTACAAACTAGCAAATCCCATTATGCAACTTGTCAATGTTTAATCCATGCATTATGTTGTGGAATCAGCTTTCGTCTCATGATGACCTGCCAGAAAGAGCATCCATGAGGAAATATCCGGGGAGGACAAAAAGCTCTAAGTGATCTGGATCTGGATCACCCCATGCACCGCCATGCAATAGCCTCAAATGAGCGTCCTGCATAAATCTGAGATATGTATCCAGTTCAGGATGGTTTCAATGGCGAATGCACGCATGCATTTTTTCCCCTTTTGTTTTGTTTTCCCACGCAGATGATGCTGAGGAGAGCGCGCGGTCATCTGTGATGCTGGGCAACGGGAAGGCCATTTATCTTACCTCAACGCTGAACTGATGATGCTCCTCTCCGGACACGGAACGCGAGACCCAAAGCAAAAGATGCAGGCAGAACGCCGCTGCGTAAAAGCAATCCGGTGGTTTCCTTTTACTGGCGGATGCTAAGGTCATAATGACCTGTTTTATTATGTTTTCTTTTCCCGAGTGTTTATTAGGAGAAGCCGCCCGTCTGCTTTGAGTCAAATGAAAATCATCGGGCGAGCTGTCAAGCCGTCGACAGAAGAGGCGCTTTATAAAATCCAGCTGGTGATAAAAAACAGGCAGGATCCGATGTCAGGCGGAGATAACGCGGCATGTTAGATTCACACCCCTCGTCATTCCTATTTACACCAGGGGCTACATCCATCCAGCAGTATCAATGGCCATGTACAGTAAGCTACCCAGTCTGCGCAAAGACAGCCTCCCTCCCCGCCACGACGCCTGCGCTTTGATTTCTCACACCGCGCAGCGCCGCTTGGCACCATCATGAGAGCTGCCCTACGGATGAGAGAGAGACAAAACACAATCCTGTCCTCGCATCTCACGTTTAAAATGCAAAATCCGAGGATGTAAGAACCCCAGAACATAAATCCTTGAGCTGTGAAAGCCCAAAATCTAGAGCTAAGTGTTTTTACGCACATTTGTGCGGCTAAAAAAGGCCCACTATAAAATAGTCCTTCATTCGGATATATTTGATGTCGTTTTTCAAGAGCTTAATCAGTCCTCCACAGATATTTACAAGAATAATATTTTCCCAACAAATTCACGAAACGCCTTCTCATAATAACAGCAAATCTATTTCTGAGACATTTTTTTTAATTCAGCTCTTTGTGATTATAGTCAACAACCTGTCAGGAGCAACAATGGCCACGAGAGGGCATTGTTTCCTCACAGAACTAGACCAACAGCTCACCAAGGGCCCTCAGAAACCAGGACAAACTGGGACCTCATTTCACTCCATGTAAACTAATGAGGCGAGGAAATAACGATAATTTGATCGGAGATGACAGGAAGGAAGGACCTGAAGCAATCAGGAAGGAGGAAGCTCATGTTTGACTCGTTAATCATCAAAGACTTATTCTTCTGACGGTCATTGTGACCAAAATTAGGAAATTGAACATCTGCACACAGCATGTATTTTAGCAGTTTAACTGCCCAATGAAGCAGACATCAAGAGACACCAAGAAAAGGTCTGCTTTGCTTTCACTAAACTTCTAGATCCGTCCTGAACTGTTCTCCCACAGCGATATTTAAGCATTTCAAAATGTTGCTAAGTTGTACAAGATGCACTGTTTCCACTGTCTTTGTCACATTTCTCTGTTGCTTTTTAAAAAATCTGTGTTCAGAAGTCTGAGTCTTAAGGCAGGACTGATCCATGTCTGACTGAGCTCATCCTGTTTCAGGTGAAGGATTTTTGCCCTCTTGCTCCATACTGGAGTTCACCCCCCCCCCCCCCCCCCCCCCCAACAAAAAGACCCAGTTGTTCCTCAGGGTACAGCTAGAACAAAGAGGGACCTTTTAAAGGTAGCTTCTCTAGAACATTCAACAATACATTAAACATGCAAAAGAAAAGAAAGAACTGAGTTATTGGTGTTTTTGTTGGATATTCTTTAAATGTAGATTTGGGGCAAAAAAGGCTGTCATACCTTTGTCTTAATGAGATTTCATTCGTGGTTTTCTAGTTATTTTTTCTGGTCTTTTAAATATTTTTTGTCTTCAATCAGCTGCAGTAAAACTGATCAGGGTTATTAAAATGTATTTATTTAAAATATGTTAACATTTTCTAAATTCAGCTTGTTAACAGGAGTCACTCAGTGGGTTTACATGCATTAAGAAAAAAATTGTTGCCTTAGTCCAACTTTACTTTTGATATGCATGTAACACTTAAGTCCAGCTGAAGTCTAACCGAATTGACCTAACCCTAATCGAGCTAAAATGCCCAGATTATCTCTGCATGTAAACACGATCCCAGTTAAACCGAGCTATGACGAGCTGGGCACTCCCCTTCCAGAAGTAACAAAACTACAGAAGCGGTCTTCTGATGATATCATTGCCACACCATCAAAAAGTACAATACTTACCAAATGTACTAGGCTGCAGTATTGTTGTCGTTCATTTTTGGGTACATCCCGTTTTACTCTTTCTGCTTCACTCCTACCAGTGCTTGTTTACTATTTTTGTTGCTGGGGGTAAGGGTATGCAATTCCAGTCAGGGAGGGCCGGTAGCCAGCACGTTTTTATTTTTACTTTGCTTCAACACATCTGATTTCAGTCAGCAGGTGATTAACAGGCTTCTGCAGAGCCTGATGAGCTGCTGCCCAAGTGTTTCAACCACTGAATCAAGCGTGTTGGAGCAGAGAAACCATTAAAACGTGCTGGATACCGGCCTTCCAGGACCGGAATTGCATACCCCAGCAATAGGCTAATTGGAAGAATTCCAGCACATACTGTTGCAAAGACAAATTCACTTAATTTAATTCAATTTTCTAACAGACATATAGGATAAAGGCTCCCACTTTGGTTAAGGACTTAGCTTGACTATTGCCATGGCGTAGCTCGATGTACATGTAATTACACTGAGTAAGTCATTTAATTAAACTGAATAAAAAACTGATTATCACTTGCTTGCTTCAACAGAATACTATTCTAGTTTGGGGCCACCCAGAATCCCTCTGTGGGGACCCCGAGCCACACTTTGGACATGCCCAATGACTAATTGATTGTTGGGGCAGATTGGTCACTTACACTAATGCTTGCTGATCTGTGAATCCTTGGATCAATAAATGTGGAGTTTTTTTTATGTGCACTTACATCTCATTTTCTCATTGCAAAACTCAAGCTGAGTTGAAAATGAAACCAACTTCGCTGTACCGTGCAAAAACCCAATCCCAAGCTAACAAAGCCACCTTCAGAGAGAAATAAAATCCACAGCCATTCTCAATCATTCGCTTTTATAAAAGAAGCTTGACATGAATCACACATTTCTAGCTTGGCAGAGCATGGCTGCAGCCAGTTAAGTTTGTTCGATATCTTTGATTCATGCTTATGAATGAGTCAGAGTTTCCAGTAGTTGTAGGAAAACCATCCAGTCACAGCTTAGAGTGGATGTGACAGCAGGGTAGCTGCTTTCTGAAAGGAAATGAATGGGAAAACTTCAGAAAAAGCTCAAAACCCTTTCACTGCTCACTCAGTTACTCAGTATATAAACTGATTGTTACACGTGAAGCTGTCATACAGGCATGTGTTTATTCCAGACATGTCATTTTGTGCACAAATGACTTAATATTTCTTTTTTATAATTGTTTTCTTCCTGCATTAGTGAAGAACTCGCTGGACATAATGCTGTAATTATTTCTATGCCTCTCGTCCAGAGCACCTTTGAACATCGCCTGCATTACTCATAACTGTGCACAAGGTGTCCTGTTGGGAAACAGGATGCGACAGGTTGAGTCGTTGAGAAAAGAGATTCCGATCAGATTAAAAAAAAAAAAGAGTTCATTTACTTTAAGTGTTTATGTCACGTTGAGTGTAGGAGGTTGGACCCAAGACGCAGAAATTCCCAGAACTACTCAAGGCAGGAGAGGTTTAAAGAAAATAATTCCTTTATTAAAAGAGGATGTGCTGAAATCCAAAGCACAAATAATAAGACTTACTCTCAAAAACTCACTGAAAATTCCAAAACAAACAAAAGCTCACATATGAGCACAGACTCGGGAAAACTCGAGAGGGGGAACGAGCAACGCAGACACATATGACAATGACCCAACAAACACTGAAGGACGAGCCAGGCTTTTAACACAGTGGAACGCAATCAGGGGAACAGGTGACAGGTGAAATCAATTAACTACATGGGAAGGGAAAACCAAGCAGAGGGGAAGATAACATAACCTATAAAAACACTACATAACCAAACCTAGAAACTAAGGGCCAAGATAAACAACTAATGACAAGAGGAGTAAGGAAGACTAATTAACAAGCGGGGAAGGACACAAACACTAAAGGGAACAAATAAAATGAAATGCTGAACCTATAGAAAATAAAACTACAGAGGGGTGACTGGAGAGACCTGAGAAGCTGGAAAACACCAGGAGGAACATGAGGAGAACACAGAGGACAAACAGAAGGGGGCTGGGGACCAAGGGGACACAGAACATGACAGTTTACTGTGTAACTCATAGCAGAGCCTTGGAGACCGCATGTTTTGGCGTGTGAGTATGGCTCAGAGCATAAAACGAGGGGCCATGGTCAGGATAAAAAGCATGGGTTTAATTGTTATTCTAAAAGATGTGCATGTGTGAGATGGCTCAAACAGCTAAACATTTACTTTCACTATTTTAGCTTTGGGGAAATATCCTGGAGGCATACAGATGGTGGGATTTGAGTAAACTTCACTGGATTCTCTAATTAACCTAATTACAGTTTACAACAAAGGTCCAGTGGCTTTAAAGCTGCTTTTATTGAGGACGTTTCTGAGTCGCTCAAATCTAATAGAAATCTTATCTGACTGCTGTGATGAGTGACTGAGTTACAGCAGAGAAGCACGGAGAGGAGTCTGAAATCATTCAAGTTTAGAAACAGATAAATAAGTCCCGAAAAATAAATATTTCACAGCTCAAATGGCAATTTAGAATATTTTAAAATATTTCCACTTGAAGGAAAATCTCAAAAATGAACAATTATAGAGTTTGCAAAGGGTTTCAGTTTTGAAATATCTTATTTAAGGATTATTTAAACAGATCCAAATTATTATTGAGGCTTGTGATCTTGTTATAGGTTTTATTTCAAACTTTGCTTATCAAACTGTTTCAGCACATTAATAGCCAAGAGTAAGAATAAGAATTTAAATATTAACATTTTTATATTAGGGATAACATTTTTAAAAGCCTTTAAAACATTCAGTTTATTTTTTTTTATTTTATTTATTTTTTTTTGCTTTTTTATTTTGTAGATTTCCTTTAATTGGTTTAAATTAAGTGTCAAAATTAGCATCAAAACATCAAAAGGAGCTTGAAAGTTATAATAGTTTTATGGTCGATATTAAACGTGTTCCTTAAGTTTTTTCTATAAGTCCCTCTCACATAGCAGATTTATTATTTGCAGTTTTAGTACCTTCCGGATTGAGCCGTCTGAGGAGTCTGTCACTTAAAGAAAGCAAGCTGGAGTTGGCCACGTCCACCCATCCCTTGCTCAGGCTGCTATAAGCTAAGAAGCTCCGACATGTAGGAGGGGTATCAGAGAAGAGCAACTGCTACTCCACCAGCAGCTCTCTCTTGCATGGAAGGGTTGGTTTTATTCAAATTTACAGGCCGACCGATATAATCCACTTTTTCTATATCGGCCATCGGCCAAAACTATTTTTAAAAGCCATTTAAAAAAAATAACAGGCACCTGTGTAGCCAACTGCCACCACTACTAGATTGAAGCAAGGACCCGAAGACCCCAACACACCGTTTTTTTTTATGTTTTGAATTTGTTTTATATTTGAAGTTCAATAAATATCAAGAGATTTATTGACTTATGTCAGTTATATTGCACACAGTGAGTGTTCAGTTGTCTTTCACAATCAATGTTCTGCTCAAATGTGTATATGTATCGGCCTAAATAATCGGCTTTAGATATCGTCATCTGCAACAAAGTTCTATAAAAATTGGTATCGGCATTGGCCTTAAAAAAACATATCGGTTGGCCTCTATTCTAATTTTCCTTTTGTTTTTCAGAAATGAGGCCTTTTTGAAATGGTTCTTTTTGGGAGCATAAATCCTTAAACCAAAAACTGACAGAAAACAGACAAACAGGTTTTCATGTTTGGAGTGTTTGTAGAGGCAGTACGGCCCGCATGGCAGCACAAAAGTATTCCAAAAATGAGTTTTGCATATTATGTCCTCTAAAAGATACATAAACTACACATTTGCTTTAGAATATGTCTGAAACAGTCACATTGTGTGCCCTATAATTCAATCTGTGTGTCGTTTCTGAACGGGCATGCTGCAGATTGGTGTTTTTTAAAGGGGAACACATTTAATTCAATGGCTGTTCAGCAGCTCATCAAGCTCTGCCGACACCTGTTAATCACCTACGGAATAAATCACGTGTGGTGGGACAGGGAAACAACTAAAACATGCTTGACTGCGACACCAGGACAAGGGTTGCCTTCCCCTTTTCATGCTCTGCATATGACTCATGTCATTCATGCCATGCACATAAAACCACAAATTAAACACATATTCATGGTGGTGATGGTGGTTGTTACTTTCTTGTAAATATTTTGACAAACGCCAAGAGGTTTCTGGGTTTGTCTGGGTTCTGTCATCCCCCTCCGACAAGTCACCTCACCTCCCATCATTGCACAACAGCTCTGCCACACTGAAGAGACCTTGTATAAATATTACTCAGTAAGATGTTAACAGAAGGGCGGCCATATTGGTCCTAACTGTTATTACTAAATAAACTGCAAAGATAAGCTGTGTTTCATAATTTTCATTCATAATGCTGCCAATTATCAACAGAGTGCTTGTAAAAAAGGGTCACTAGCTGTGGTTCCTCGTCTTTTTCCCTAAAATTTTATTCCCGCTTTCTTCTGAATCTTCTACAATCATTAGACTTTATTTGGTTGGTGCTTTCTGCTCATATAAGCAGAGAAAAAGGCACTGTTTCCAGCAGAAGAAATGAATTGCAACAAATTATTTCACTTTGAGAAACATTTCACAATAATTTGGCAGTTGCCAGTGGTTTAGACACCCCCCCCCCCCCCCCCCACCCCACCCCACCCCATTGAGATGCTAAGGTGACTTCTGGCCAAAGTGTAACAATCAGACCATAATATTTTGCTTCTGATTATCCAAACTCAGGTCATTCCACATCTTGTTAGTTGAAATTTTACTCCTGGTGTCTTTTTTTTCTTTCTTTTTTTGAAAAGCAACAACAAAAGTTAAAAGGCCTGATGCCAGCTGCACCACATCCAGAGCACAGAGGACAGTGGGCTGCCTCGCACGAAACATTAGCCTTACATTACTTAATTTCCCGTGGAGAATTCCCGTGGAGTCATTCCGCTCAACACAATAGCCTCTTCCACCGACAGCACAACCAACGAAGATTTGCTGAGCCATTAGGCCACAATAATGAAATAAACGCCAGAGTGAAAAATGATTTCCATCACTTCTGTCCTCATCGAGTCTGATTTGTGTTAAACAACAAACATGCTTTGGCTAATTTCTGTTCAGACAAGCTTAGTCTTTGTCAGGAAAAATGTATTATGTGCTGGATGCACATACTGCTTACAGAAGATAACCAACCACTGTCATTTATAAGTGACCATGAGGTCATCCAAAGGGGTTCAGAGGAAGACAACTGGACTTCTTTGGTTTCTCTGAGACATTTTGCTTCTCATCCAAGGAGCTTTGTCAGTTCTGACTCGAATATGGGAGAGTGAAGCTTATAAAATGTAGTTGTCTGTTGTTGCTTAAAGAATAGAAACTACATATGAATACCCCTCTTCCATACCTCCTGAGGATTAAGTAGTTTCAGCTTCCCATAATCCTGTCAGAACTGACAAAATCTCATCGGATGAGAAGCAAAACATCTTCAAGAAGCCAAAGATGTCCAGTCGCCTTCATGCAAACCCCTTTGGGTTATCGTGACCTGGATGACTGAGAACCTTCACCAGTGTAAACGTGAAGTAATAAACCAGAACAGAACACTGATTAGAAATCATAACTGGGATTGCTCTGACATGCTCAGCCAGAAAACCATAACAGTATCAAAGATTTTGATCTGCAGGTCGGTCTAGACATGATCCATTGTAGCCTCAGGAGGCCTACCATTGGTTCGGCTAAGTTTAGGCTGGGCCAATCGCTGTAGGATGGGCTCATTACATTATGGTAGAGCAAATTTTTGAACGATGACTGAAGAGCTGTGACAAAGCAAAACAAGGACAATAGTGTCAACTCAGGAATGGTGCTCATTGGATACGACTTTTGGCGCTAGCTTTGACTTAGAATTTAGATTTTCTTTGACACATGAGCAGAAAGAGGTACTTAAGTCCTTTATTTTGAAAAAGAACTGTATATGGCACACTGCCCAGCTGAATGATTTCTGTAATGATTAATATATCATGTTGTTAATTGCTCTGATTGGTCCTAGCACTGTGCAGTTGCACAGATTGCATAGATTTCACCCCCATGACCGAGCTCTGTCTATGGGTCGTGGCCACGCTATACATTTACATATGTTTGCCAGGCTGCCCAAGCACCAAATTTATAAAACATTTGATTAATTCTTCATTTTGTCTATTCACCAAAGAGAGGACATGATGCTGTCACTCATAACAGACTAAATCAAACCCCTTTATCCCTACAATGATGCTACAGCAAGACTGCAGAGTAAATGTTTTAGAACAATTTTTTGAAAGAGAGAGAATCTGGGAGTTCATTTTGCAAGGAAAGAAAGAAAACTAAAGCTCATTATTTACCCCTCTGATTTTTTAAATGATCTTCAAACCTTTCTAAATGGGTGAACTTCCAAAATGTTTCTATACCAACATGCTATGTGCAACATTTGACACATCAAAAATAAACAACACAAACAAGAACAACAGCCCTTTTTCACAGCAACCAACCTGTGCATTTAAATAGTAGCTGTGTGAAAAACACTTGCAAGCAGAAGTTCCTCTAAATGGAATGCGGCCCTAAATGAATCCGCCTGCTCCTTTCCTAAAATGCTGTGAAACAGAACCACGGATGGATCGGATTTGCTTTAATGGTCCATCTCTTCACTGATCATTTGTGAAGGCAGATACTGAGATGAATTCCAAAACGTGTTTATGAAAGGGGACAGTGGAGTATTTCATATCATACTGCATTGTGTATGTTGTGTGTTACTGTGTTGTATAGTTTTGTATTGTATTACAGCATCTCATATTGTGTTGTGTCATCTTGTGTTGCAACTTATTGTATCGTATCCATAAAGTCACGTTTTACTGGGTATTTTATGATTTTTCAACCTTATTTTGTTTTTTTGTTTTCCCATCGTGTTTACATATCTGGGTCTTTGAGAGTTTATCGAAGAAAGATGTCCTGTTCTGGAAGCACTCGGTGGGACAGCTGTGGTTCAAATACAGTATTTTGTTCTTATTTATCTGTTTGTCTTGCACCTTTGTGCGGATATGCATATTTGCATTTATCTATAACTTGTTGGTTAACCTTCATTTCCCCACTCTCGTACAAAAAACCCAATTTTTGTTCTACTCTGCTCCAATTCTGAATTGTTTCCTCGTTTTCTGGTTCTTAGCTGACAGGAGACACGCCCCATGTGTTCTTCTGCTGCTGGAGTCCATCTCCATGGTTGGAACCAGTGGTGGTTTGAGCTGTTTTTGCCTTTTTATCACCTTGCACCAGTCTGCCCATTGTCTTCTGACCTCTGCCACCAACTGGGTGTGGTTCAAAGCATTCTCTTTAAGCTCAGGAGATGTTTGTGAAGCACTTAGTTGTTGGACAATTACTTCTGTAACATATAAATTGGATGAGAGTGTGCCTGCATGGGAATTATAGGAATTCTGTTCCAGTCGAAGATCTGATGAAAATGAAGCTCAACTGTCATTTGTCACTAATTTACTATCAAATTCATGAGTTTTTAAAAATTGTTATTATTTTAAAAAATAGACTTCAAGGAAGAGTTAATTTGTTAAATGATTCGTGCTCTAGTGGGTAATATGAGTAATAGTAAAGCTTATCTTTGTTGGATCTTTTATTGTGTTCTGCAGAGGAAATAGACCATAAACCTCCCTGCAACCACATTTGTGTCCACCACCGGAAGTTTACGAAAGGGTTTAACATGATTCAGCACCTCAGAAGCAGATGATGCGCTATTTTCTCCCCTTTCATGTTGCGCGCAATGCGTCCTGGAGTTTTTACGCAGCAGTGAATGTTTTCTTTTTCTTGTCCTCTGCTCATCCTCTGTGTGTACCTGAGAGAGGCACGTCTGTCCTGGTCCTTCCTCCTGATTACGTCACAAGCCAGAGGTTTGTGCTCGCGCTGTGCTCTGACTGCTGAAGATATCAGTGAGAAGGAGGAGGAGGAGCTGTCAAAGTTGCCCAGAGAGGGAAAAGTCTTCAACGAAGAGGTGGGAAAATATCTATTTTCGGCTGGAATATCGCGCCTTGTTGACATGGAATGAGAGGAAAAGCACCATGGAAAGCCGTTTTCTGAAGTGGATCAGCTTCACCTCTCTGCTCTGCGTGGGCTCTTGTGTTCTGGCGGAAAGGAAAGGTATGTGAGGGCTGTTGTGGGTAAAGTGGGTCGCCTGGTGCCTTTCGCTTCACTGTCCCGCATTTCCGTAAATCACAGAGAAATCACAGACTGGTCACGAAGCCGCAGGGAAACCTGATCCTGCCTGGGAGGAAAGTTTCTCACAGCCCTGCTGTTCAGTCTGTGGCCTGGTTAGAGCCTCGGGAAGGCTGGAGAGAACGGACGGTGTAGCCTACTTTATAAGAGCGTCTTAATTTCCATAACTGGCTAATTAGTTTTTGCGCAAACGCGCATCTTTCTCAAGATGTAGATATCATCTAAGAGCAAAATTTTGGCAGCATGATGGAAAAGGGTGCTGACAGAGCAATTAGTTGTTCTTTGCCTTGCTAAATTAGGATTTTATTCATTGTGCATTTTTTATATTTACAAATGTAATATTAAAATGATTGATTTGTCAAAATTAGACAAAATCTCTGGTGTTTTTATGCCATTTAAATCAGCCATTAGCTAAAAAATACATAACTTTAAAGGATTTTTCTTTATCCTAGAGCTGAACCAAAAAGATTTACTACTAATTGGAAACGATATATGTTTACACTGAACAGAATGGAATTGAATAGAATTGAAACTCCAGTGGCCAATCTGAAACCTTCTTCTTTCAGTTTGTGAACGTTAGCAACAATTAAAAAAATCTGACAAATTTCTGACTATGAACACACAATCAATGCTGATTCATGCCTACTTAAATACAGAATCAAGTTCATCAACCATTAATTTAAAACAAAATGAATCATAGTCCTTTTAGACAAATTCAGTTTGTCTAAAATTGGTATCGGTCTCAAAACCAGAAAAGGCACATCCCATTGTCATATTTACAATTTCAAAAGTAGCTTTCTGTACATTACACAGCTGTATGTTAATATATTCGAACATCATTTAATGCAAAAAATAAGCTGATCACTTGCACTTTAAAGGAAGTTTGTTGAAAACATTAAAAATGTGTCTTCATTTATCTTGCAAAAATGAAATAAGCAGAACCAGTGATACGTGATGCTTGTACACAATATTTTCTTAGTGTTTTTATAATTTCTTTTATGTTTAAATGATAAATGACCCGCACTTGTATAGCGCCTCTCAGAGTAAGGACTCCAAAGCGCTTTACACTTCAGTGTATCAGTCATCCATTCATACACACATTCACACACTGCTGGTGATGAGCTACGATGTAGCCACAGCTGCCCTGGGACGCGCTGACAGAGGCGAGGCTGCCGAGTACAGGCACCACTGGTCCCTCTGACCACCACCAGCAGGCAATGTGGGTTAAGTGTCTTGCCCAAGGACACAACAGCAGAATTCTCTGTCCGGAGCCAGGATCGTACCGGCAACCTTCCGATTACTGGACAACCCGCTCAACCTGTTGAGCTACTGCTGCCCCAATTATTACCTTTACTTATTGTGGTTTTGACTCTGAATACTTCTGCTATGCTGACTAAAGTAAAGAAAAAAACAACAAAAAAAATTTAATAAAACAAAACATTCAGACTAAGTTGAGTCACTCAGCCCTCTCAGAGCTGCCAGGAGAGAAAGTGACCAGTAGCATCACTTCACTCCCTGATGACTGTTACTTCCTATTCTCGTGGATAATATCTGTCCACACTGATTCCTGCTTGGCGCTGTTTGTCCTCATGAGCAGATCAGCATGTGTGTTTGGAGCCAGAAGCGCACGTGAACGTTGCATCTTTCCTCTCTGCACGGGTGATGGATGCTGCGTTTCTGGGAACCAAAGCAAATCCCTGAATATTTCTATCCAACTGAACAAATCAGACAACAATCACCTCGTGCAGCAACGAGTCTTCCCACAGCGATTGGGAATGTTGGGATTTTATCACATCCAGATGAGATGAGGCGTGAGCTGCTACATGTTTGCTTTCGTTCATTTTTTTAGAGGAATCGACTTTATTTTTCTTACGTGTTGCTGTTGTAATCGTTGTTTCTGGGTTTTCTTATTTTTGGACAAAGGAGCAGGGACAATGTAGTTTCAACTTGATTTTAGTAAAACAATAAAGCATAAAAAATGCCACCATGCTAATAAAAACCTGAAACATATATTTTTATTTGATGTCCCTGTGGTAACTTGGTTCATCAATGACAAAAACAACAAATAATATAAATAATATTATGTCTGGATTTTGACTTAAACTTACAAACAGACCTTGATAGATTTGATTTTTTTTAATCAGAGCAACTTTTTAGAAACATGTGACCCCTCAGGAGCTTCAAAAGGACTATTTTACAACATAATCACAATTTTGCCTCCTTTACTTTGATGTTGTTTTTGACGTTTCATTTTGCTGCATGTTCAGACAGATCCGCTTGCATGCTCTTGCTTCTTGTTTGTTTACCAAGCTGATGCAGCGGATGGTCGATCTTATCTGAAGGTGGCCATGTCAACACAAACGTGTGCTGGCTATTGTGACGTCACTTTTTAGTGTGTGTCTCATTATTATCATTAAAACAAGCAGAAAGGTGGAAACAGAACAAAGATGCAACCTTCCCATGAAGCTTTGGGGCAAATTCTTCAAAAACACCAGTGCAACTTGTATTTCATTCCAGCTTACAGGTGAGGGTTTATTCCTCATTGTTGTTTTGACTTGTGTTTGATCTGACTGGTGAATATCTTAAGGGGAAAAACGTGTTCCTACTTGTTTGTTGCTTCTTTAAAAAGAAGAACTGGCCATAATTTATCCTTTTAAAGGGAGACTAGGCAGTTTTGTCTTGCTTTTATCACCCTCTAATGTCCGTAAGTAGAACTGAAAGCAAAACTTCTCCTTGCTGTGTAATTGTCTTTTTAACACCTTATTATAACAATTGAAATGACTCCCCAGCCTTCATTAGTGTCTACAGGGGTGATTCATCACTAAATCAAACAAATCAGCTGTGTTCGTGATCTAAAATATGCAGGAAACCTGCTGGAACCAGACTGCAGCGCCGGGTATGTCAGCTCAACAGAGCGGCCGCCAGTCTGAAGTTGCAAGTGGAATATTCTGGCCACAAGGGGGCGATAGGGGCCAGGTGGCCTTTCATTATCCCTGTAAATGGTCATTTTAGCACAAACTGGCTCAAGAAAATTATTTAAAAAAAAGAAACATTTGCATAGTATCCTTTTAAATCACGTTTTTGCTGATAAATCAGAAGCATTTTATCAGTTTATCATGTTTGCAGGGCTGTAATCAAAATGAGGATTGAGGATTTTTTTTAAATGATTCTGCACCTGACACCGATCAGTCTTTTCCTGCTCAACCTTTGTTCAGAGACATCTTTGCTGAGTTTGACAGCTTTCACGTTATACTCACTAAACTGGATGATGGTTTCGTTTTGCAGCCAATGAGCTGATATTCGTTATCAAGCCTGTTTCAAGAGGTTAACCTCTGAAAGATCAAACTAATCACAGAAACATGTCAAAGACTGAAATCCTTAATCCCTACTATTCAGCCAGAGAATAACCCTCTTATATTGCTTTTATTCCTTTTTGTGAGTGAGTTATTTCAGCTGTTGACAGAACGAGACTAAAAGCAGGTTGAGTTCAGCTTCCTACGTTCTGCATAAAAAAATAGGCTTGCAGATCTGCAAATGTTTTGCTGATTCGTGATAAAAATTTCACCTCTGCAGCACATTTCAGCATCCCTCCTAAGTGTTTTCTCCCTTGCGTGTTTAGCTGAGATCTAACGGGCCAGCTTCACTCATCAGTCATCTGTCTTTTCCTCTGAAGACCATGTTTTATTTTCATTAAAGCCCACTCTATGGGGGTGATAGTGAAATATTGCTTACAGATTTGTGTCTTTGAGGCCTAGAGTGGTATGCTGCACACCTGACGATCTTCCCAGACCTACATCTGCTGCAGCCATTGTTAGAAATCAAGCTTTTTAGGTTGGGGCCGTGGGAGCTGGAGTGAAATTTCTGCAGCTTTGAGGAACTGCAATACATCTAAGCGAGGAAGCAATTTTAGCTGGCAACGTGCGGGATTTAGGTTTCACATTCAGACAATAGCATCTCTGTGTGGAGGGCAAGTTATCTGGCAGCACGGGTAGTTTTGTAGGGCAGCAGAGATCCAGGCCGACACTTGAATCTAGACGTGTGTGTGTGTGTTGAGTTTGTGTGTGTGTGTGTGTGTGTGTGTCATCTACAAGTGAAGCCGTTTTTTCTTCTCTTCCCTGAATACACATTTTGTATCAGGTGACACCACACTTCTGTAAATGATAATTATGTGTCTGGTTCTGCTCCAGTGGTTTGTATACCTCCAGCATAGAATAAGTAAGTGAAGATGTGGTTACTGATTGAACAGATTTACACCTTTTGTTTGTACACGGTAACAAAGCACTCTGTGACATTTATGGCCTTTCCATGATCGTCCGCTCCAGTGGAAAGAGACGCTGGTTTTCAGGCCGGAAAAGTGACCTGCTGTTATCTGCCTTCTCATCATGTGCTGCAGCGTCACGTTAAAGGGGAAAAGAGTCCTCGGGACTAATTGAATTACTAATCCTTTATGTGTGTGTCTTTGTTTTAAAGAAAAGTTGTTCCTTGTTGTTGATGAAGAGTCTCATTTTTCAGGCCCTATGAAGTTGGTTTTTTTTCTCTCTTTTTAAGTAAAAAAAGTGCTTTCATTTTCAGAAGAAATGTTTGGACTATGAACCATTGAATTCTGAAGAAACCCAATTATTTTTGTAGTTAAGGGGAAATAAGCTTTGTAAAAAGATAGAAATTGACTTTGGAGCATTTTTGAAGTACAGCTTGAGGCTCTCTTTCTTGTTTTCCTTTCATTTTTTTAAAGAAATGCACAAAAAATCTTTGGTTGTCAATTAAAACAATTTTATATAGAGCTGTCACATTGTTTCCTGCGATATTTTTTACCGAAAATTTGCTGATTTGAATCATTTTTTGTAACAATTTATATATATGTAATAAAAATTCCCATCTCACCCTCCGCGGGTGGTCTCATTCTTCCAAACTCAGGTCCTCTACTA